CATCGGGGGCGTTGGTAAGGTGCAGTCATTATGGCGCTTTCCATAGTTCTCCCATTTCGTGGATTTTCACAAAGATCAAATCCACTTAATAGCACTGAAGTTCCCCAAGCGAAGGGGTACGTTCGAGGTTACAGAAGTAACCCTTCATTCCCCGAGGAGGGGAACGGAAGTGCTATACTCCGTCGCCATAATGACTGTCCCTTAGCTGTTTGAAAGTCTCTTCAGATTAAAATGATGGCGTTTGCTCACTCCAGGTGTGCTTATATGCTGGGATAATTGGCAATGAAGCACACCTGTGCAAGCTTACGCTGCCAATTCATTGCATTCATTGGCCCGTTCAATACTCTTTCAGACAAGCCGCTTCTGAACCGAATCCTCCCATTTCGTGGATTTTCACAAAGATCAAATCCACTTATTAGCACTCCCGTTCCCCTCCTCGGGGAACGAAGGGTTACTTCTGTAACCTCGAATGTTCTCTGTTGCCTTCGGGTTATCACAACAATTAACCCCCCAAAAAAGCAGCGCAATCACTTCCAGATTTCTGTTGTGTTTACGATAAGTACAAATGCTAAACACATGACCATTTTTTTTCTGCCAAGACAACACATACATTGCTGATATGCGAGTCCCATCTCACGCCTGTTTCACATCGCAAGCGTCAGCGGCGTGTGAGCAGAGCGTGAGCAGCGCGTGTGTTTTCGGCGTCCATGTTAACAGATTAGAGCTTTCATACCGCACGCAGCAGCAGCGCGTCAGTGCGAGGCGTGAGCGTCGCCGAAGCAGCAGTGCAGCGATAGTTTCGGCGCTGGGTCTATTTTTGACGCGCTGCTCACGCTCAATTAAAGTGACAGTGCATTGATAATGACCAAAACACATCGAATGACAGTAAAAAGTAGCAATTTTACCCAATAAATGCGTTAATAATGTCAAATGGTTTATATATAGTCATTCAAATGAACTTAAAACGATTAAAAACGGCAACAAACATTTATTTAGGCCCGAACTACAAAACCGAATGTAAAACAATTTTACTATCAGTTTTGCTTAAGTTGCACACTAGTGTTGTAGGAGAGGGGAAATGGAATATTTACGGGATTTGTAGTCCATAGCGAAGTGTATTGTGGGTAGTGTAGTGCGACACGCATGCTGGATTATGTGAGCTCGCTGTGTTCTGTGCAGCTGAGCAGAGGAAGAAAGTTTTAATCGGCTTTGTTTTATGTTCACTCGAATTATTCCTACCGGGAGCTGTTTGCACTGTGAATCTGACAACACGAAAATAAGTAAAAGAATGGCATGCATTAATTACTTTTGTCCGTCTCATCATCTGCACGAGCATGAATTAACGAGCTGTTATTCTGCCATTGGACATCACTGAAGCGGAGAAAGTAATACTAGTTTGATCATGTATAAATATCATTATAACTATATTGTATAAATATGATTATAACTAGGTCTACAGCAACCTGATAATCAAAAAACAAATGACATGATATCACAGGCGATTGTCTTCTGACTGTAGACACTTCTCATATAAGTTAGCTTTAGAAGCATACAGTACTATTTGATCTATAAAATTTGTAAAATAAACATTTGCAGGTTAATGAAACAGCATAGGAGGGGCCTTGGTGCAGATGCAAAGTTTAAAAGTGTATTTGTATATAGAGAGACATGGGTAACTAGATAGAATAGACAGAGATAGGTTGATCTCAGCAGCAGCTGCCGAAGAGCTGCGCGCTGCAGACGCAGCTGGTGTAAAAGGCAAACGCCTGCGTGCTGCTACTGCTCGACAAACGCGCTGCTCACGCTCTGCTCACGCGCCGCTGACGCTTGCGGTGTGAAACAGGCGTCACACTCAATACAATATTATATAGTTTAAACACAGCACTACAACATACAAAAGAGAGAGATAGACATAGAACATTGTTTACCTGTTAAATAATGATTTGATCAGCTGTAGTAGAGGTGCGGATGCAGGTTTATAAGTGCGGTCAGGCCAGCAAAGGTCAACATAGGGTATGCAGTCAGATGTATGCAGTCAATCCAGAGTCATAATCAATAGGCAGGCAGATGGTCAAAGGCAGGCAGCAAACACGATTAAACAAATAAACAAGGCAAGGATCAAAAACAAGGTAAAGCAAGATAAAGGAAACGGGTTGTAATGTCACTAGAACAAATAACAAGACTCAGCCCTGAGTGTATCAAAGTGAGCCGTAAATATGTGTGTGTAATCAGTACTTGAGCAGGATCAGCTGTGTGTATGCAATCAGTCAGGATCAGGAACCTGTTGTGTGTGTGGTGCATGACTGGTTCTTGTACTCTTTTTACCAGCAGATTTGTAGTGCTAAGTGAGTGTGAATGTTTTCCAGCGATCTCTGGTGGTTAGATCGCTAAATGACAAAAATGTGGTCTCTGTTGCCATCTTGTGGATGGACAACATCAACTGTCTTTGCTCAGTATGACAGTAATGGCCGCCAACGCACTGTCTCTCAGAAATTATAAATATTTAAAAATAGGCACTATCCTTATAAAAAAACTGCATAGTTGCAATCTAAACAACTACATTCTAGACAAAAAAAGCTTCAAAAGTACATTATGTTGCCCAGCAGCAGGAATATTTCTCAAACTGTAGAGTATCCTCTGCTTGTTGCTGTATGTGGTCGGAGCAATTCACAAGGGTGAAGGGTGAAGAGGCTGGTTGAGTGCTGTTACTGGCAGAATACAGCACAGCCAATCAATATCGGCCAATCAGATTCAAGAACCAGATAGAACTGTTGTATATATACACAACACACTGTCTCTCAGTCTCTTTCTCTCTCTCTGTATGTATGTATGTATGTATGTATGTATGTATGTATGTATGTGTGTGTGTGTGTGTGTGTGTGTGTGTGTGTGTGTGTGTGTGTGTGTGTGTGTATATATATATATATATATATATATATATATATATATATATATATATATATATATATATATATATATACATATACAATGTTTTTTAATATTTATTTGTGTTTTGCTGTGAAAATACACACAAGTCTAATTCCTTTTTTCATCATGCAAAATGGTGTGTATGTGTATAAATATAATAAAAGGACACAAAAATAAACACAAAAAACATCCCCAAAAAACTTACATTTTTCTATAAAGCAAATCAACTCCAGGTTTTACCAGCCGTCTCTTCCCCCAGCCTTTGAAGATCACTGAAAGAGATGCACCCAGTAAACAGCGCATTCATTTAGAGGTTAATTAGTGTTTTTGTTTCCATTAACTGTAATAACTTGACATTTATGCTCTCTAATGTGCAGCCTTTTATTTCCCACTGAAGAAGAACACTTTCCCAGACACCAACCAGACATCTCTGAGGATATGACTGCAATAACGATCAATCATAATTGTCATTATAAAGCTTCATTTAGACACTGAGCCACCAGTGCTGTATGTGCAAGAAGAATAATTAAAATAATGATTCAAAGAAGCAGCTGAAAGACATCTACTCATCATGCCCATCACTTCTTTTAACTTCTATTGAATAATTGCATTCATAAAAGATTATAATTATAATTTCATTCAGTGTCACAAAAGTATACCATAAAATCTTTTCAGGCAAACTTAAAACAATAACAATTATCTTACATGTCAAAAAATATATATATTAATAAATATAATATTATTCATTCATTCATTTTCCTTTGGCTTTATTCATCAGGGGTCACCACAGCAGAATGAACCACCAACTTATCCAGCATATGGTTTACACAGCGGATGCCCTTCCAGCTGAAACACAACACTGGAAAGCATTTATAAACACTCATTTACACACATACACTACAGCCAATTAAGTTTATTCAATTAACCTGTACCACATGTCTTTAGACTTGTCGGGGAAACCGGAGCACCCGGAGGAAATCCACGCGAACATGCAGAGAACATGCAAACTCCACACAGAAATGCCAACTGACCTATCCAGACTTGAACCAGCGACCTTCTTGCTGTGAGGCAACAGTGCTACTGTGTATAATATAATAAATACTGTAATATAATATAATATAGTAAATATATAATACATATTAATACTATATCCCAGTAAGTATAGTTCTGCAAAAGTATCTTGTTTCATTTTACATTTCAATCTATTACACTGAACAACACATTGTTTGACTCACTGTATTGTCACACTTTTTTTTCAACGCTATATTAGAATTTGATGCAGACACAAAAATGAGATACTTTGTCTTTGACTATTATACTATGTGACCTTTAACCAAAATATAGGTGCAATTGAAATGTTCTTGACATTTAGATATATACATCATTTATACTTTTGGAAACTGGTTAAGTAAGCTTCACAACTATTGGAGTAATAAGAAAATCAGCTTTAAATTGATCCATGTAAAGTTATAAATACATATTACTAATCAAGAATTACGTTGTAATATATTTACAGTAAGAAATCTACTAAATATATTCATGGAGCAAGATCTTTACTTAATTTTGGAAAGATTTTTGGCATAAAGCACAAATAAATAATTTGGACTCATACAATATATTGTTGGCTATTCAGATTCATTTAAAGTAAAAAAAAAAAAATCCATAAAAAACATAAAACATTTTAGCTGATAAAACAGTAACATGCAAATAAACAATATTCAATGCAACATCGACCTTTAATGCTCTAACATCACAACCCACCTTATGTGTAAATTAGTATGTATGTATTAACGACAAAGAAAAAGTGGCAGAAATCTGCCCTTCTCGCTCTCAACAAGCAGATGTCGGAAAAAAGTTTGACCGGAGGGCAAAATAAACAATTGAATTTTCGTTAACCAGCTAATAAAATTAGCCAGGATAAAGCAGAAGCTGTCACAGGGTTGTGCTCTTAAAAGCCAGAGAGAGTCCGCAGCCAACAGAAGTGGACCAACATTAGGACAAACAGCACCTAAGAAGACTTCTCAAAAGACGACAAAGCAACAAAGACTATAACAAAACTCAACAACCTGAGATGAGAGAATCTGTTTAGGGAAGCCTTACTATCAAGGAAAAACTTAGAAAGGCCTTCAAAAATGCGTCTCATAAACAAAGACCTCCGGCTCCAAGACGTAACCCTGATGTACCTCACCGTTTTAGCCACTGTGGTGGTGCTTTTAGTGGCATCCTACCAGGCTCCTGCGGGCCAATCCAGACCCACCCTGGCCTATCATATCCCGCTGGATCCGTCAGGACAGCTGGAACTGTCCTGGAACATCAGTTATCCCAAGCAGGAGGTTTTGCTCGAGGTCAAAGTCAAAGAGCTCCATCATGGCATTATTCTGGGCATGTCTGATCGTGGAGAGCCTACGAATGCTGATTTGGTGATTCTGTGGGATGACGGTCACAAATCCTATTTTGGGGTAGGAGTAGTTCATGCTTTTAGATTTTATGATGGTTTTTGGTGTTTGCGTGTGTGTGCTGGAAATCAGCTTCAGGGATGGTGTAGGATTACGTGCTTTTGCAAAATATGTATTTAAGATGTGCAGAAATATTTTTATGGAGTATGTTGTCAATATGAGCTTTGGTTTAAACTGTATAAAAAGAAAATATAAGAATTAGTTTGAACTTTGTTTTTGTAGAAGGTTGTTTTGAACACCGTTGACCTTTATTGTATGGTAATCAAATAAAATTTACAAAAAACATATTAAATGGAAGGGTCTACTTTAATGTTTCAAATAACTTTAGTAAAGATAAATATGGGTGAAATGGGTTTCATCATCGACTGTAACAGATATATTTATTTAAAAATGAATCATAATACATATTCTGACCAATGCCTAATATCATTGTATAACGATATAATATATAAGTCATTGTATAACGATGGTTTGTTCTGTAGACTATCGAAAAAAATATAGCTTAAAGGGGCAAATAATTTTGTCCCTAAAATGGTGTTTAAAATGTAAAAACAGCTTTTATTCTAGCTAAAATAAAACAAATAAGACTTTCTCCAGAAGAAAAAATATTATCAGACATACTGTGAAAATGTCCCTGCTCTGTTAAACATAATTTGGGAAATATGTAAAAAGAAAAAAAAAGGGGGGCTAATAATTCTGACTTCAACTGTATATATATATATATATATATATATATATATATATATATATATATATATATATATATATATATATATATATATATATATATATATATATACACACACACAAAACATTTATTTTTATTTAATGGTATAAAGGATAGCAACAAAGTAAACAATATTAAATAACTAATTGGTATATACAGTGCTCAGCATATAAGTACATCCCCCACAAATTTATCTTTTAAAATTCATATTTTAATAGGAAGCTCTACAATATTATATTTGTACATATTTATTAGATTAGTCAGTACTGAAGCCAATTGTGGAGCTTATTTAACAAAATACCTTACGATAACAGTTTAAAAACTAGTACACCCAAATTTCTTTCTTAGGGGAAAATATTAAATACTAAATTTTAAAAATAGTAAAAATCAAGAGAAAACAAAAATATATACAATTTTGTTGAAATGTAGTTTGTAATTTTTTTGCAATATTTTGCATTAATTTAAATGTATTATCTCTCCATTTCTAAAGATATTCAGTGATAAAAATATTATTTTACTAAATATATCTGTTTAACAAATCTGTTTTGTTCAAATGCACCATTACATATTACTCAGATTCACTAAGAAAAAAATAAAAATATTAAACCCAAAATAGGGTGTACTCATTTATGCTGAGCACTGTGTACACACACACACACACGCACACACACACACACACACACACACACACACACACACACACACACACACACACACACACACACACACACACACACACACACACACACACACACATATATATATATATATGTGTGTGTGTGTGTGTGTATATATGTTTGGGGTCTGTTTTTTTTTCATGTTTTTTTTAAGAAAATTATTTGTTCATTAAAGCTGCAATCATTAAATCTAAACAAAAAATGTAAAATTGTTAAATATTTATTACAATTTTACATAACATCTTTGTTATTGCATGTAGTTTCAAAGTAAATTATCACTCCAGTCATTATTGCTTTTATTACTGTTATCATTAATAAAAACAATATTATTAATATAATGATGATTAATATTAGAGTGATTTCTAAAAAATCATGTGACTGAAGACTAATGAAGCTGAAGTAAATTCATCTTTAAAATCACTGGAATAAATGATTACATGAAATTTTAAGCTACTTTTGAAGAGTTATTTTATAGTGCAAGAACATTTCACAATTTTACAATTTGTACTGTATTTTTTGATATTGATTTAAATTTTGTGAGCAGAAGAAGCTTATTTTAAAACATTTAAAAATCCTACTGTCCCCAAACTTTTAACCAGTAGTGTAAATATGATTTTTCAAGGCATTTATAAAAAAAATTTAAAACTACAATTCGCCACAACCCCCCCCCCCCCCCCCCCCTCCAACACAAAAAAAATCATGGAAATCCAAGTAACATAAAGTACAAATGCTTTTGAACAATGTCAAGTAAATCATAGAAATTTCTATTTCATTTTGGCTGAGGTTTGATAGGCTACCTCTTTAATTGTTAATGAACAACAGATGACGAACATCTAACCTCAACATCAGAACAGCCTCTCTCTGTCAGTCTGAAGAGTCTTTCTTTATGGATGTTGTTATGATTGCTGATCTACAGTCAGGACACTCACACTTGCGTCCATTTCCAGTTCAAGCAGCACAGCGCAAAACTCCTACCCATCATCGGCATGAACAGCTCACGTCTACCGCGCCCCAAATAAAGTGGTTGAAAAGTAGAAGGTCAGACGCGTGTCAAGGCCCCTCTTCATCCATTATGAATGATTTATTTCATTATTTTGCTTTTGGACGGCACTGTTTGGTCCGTTTTGAATAAATGTTGTATGGCCAGCTGCTCGCCCTTCCTCCCACAATGGATGTCAAGGAGAAGAGTTACAGACAACAAGTCAAAACATTGTAGGGCTGGTGAAAAAATGGCTGGTGGTTAATTTAGAATGATTGTTGATTGTAATGAAATGTTTTTTTTTCAAAAGAAGTAAATAAAATAATGGGTGGAGCAGTGGGTATTGCTGTCGCCTCACATCAAGAAGGTTGCTGGTGCGACCCTTGGCTGGGTTAGTTGGCATTTGTGTGTGGAGTTTGCATGTTCTCCCTGTATTCGCGTGGGTTTCCTCCAGGTGCTCCGGTTTCCCCCACAGTCCAAAGACTTGTGGAATAGGTGACTTGGGAAAGTTAAATTGTCCCTAACGTATGTGTGTAAATGAGAGTTTATAGTTGTTGGATAACTTGGTGGTGTATTCCACTGCGGTGACCCCTGATTAATAAAGGGATTAAGCCAAAAAGAAAATGAATGAATCTATTAATTAAAAAAATTCTATTGTGATTATGACCTGCTTAACCGCGAAAAGTCATCGTAAAATCTATAAACAAACCTATTTATTAATTTTAGAAAACATATGTTCATTTAAGGTGTTTTAACTGTACTCTATATGGGTACAGTTAAGACAAAAAAAATACCTTATGTTTATAAGCTAGTTGTGGAAAATATAAACTACTCAACTCACAAACTCACTTACAAACTCAATTTGTGATATTTTAGTACAGTCAAAAGAAACATCACCTCAAAATTCACTTAAATTCAGCATCTAGTTTTTGTGTAGTGATTTTAAAAAGCAAAAAGTGGCTCTACTGTACTCAGTCTACCCATTAGTAGGTTACTATGCTAATATGTGTGTTAGCGTTTGAAGAACAAAACCAAAGCTACAAGGTTAATCACACTATAAACTTTAATTTGAAGCTAAGAATATAAAAAACTGACCATTTTAAAGTAAATTATTCTTCCACATTTTTGCCACACTACTACTACTACATACTAAAGTAATTAATCTGTTGTGAAAATAATATATACTATATAAACTATAGGCTAATAAAAACTAATTAAATACTGTGCTAAGATCTCTGCAATAGAGTATACAGTTAAAGTCAGAATTTTTAGCCCCCTTTGAATTATTATTATTATTATTATTTTTCCAAATTATGTTTAACAGAGCAAGGAAATTTTCACAGTATGTCTAATAATATTTTTTTCTTCTGCAGAAAGTTTTATTTTGGCTAGAATAAAAGCAGTTTTACATTTTTTAAAAGCAATTTTAAAGGGCACATAGTTTACACTATACTAACACACTTCTGTCCAAACAGCTTGAAAAGGAGATTTTTCACCATAGGTGCACTTTAAGGTCAAAATTATTAGCCCCTTTAAGTTAAGTTTTTTAATCGAATGTTTACAGAACAAAACATCGTTATACAATGACTTGCCTAATTACCATATACTGCCTAGTTAACCTAATAAACATATGTCACTTTAAGCTGTATAGAAGTGCCTTGAAAAATATCCAGTGAAATATTATTTGTCAACATGGCAAAGATAAAAAACAAATAAAACTATTATGTTTAGAAATCTGTTGAAGAAATCTTCTCTCTGTTAAACAGAAATTGGAAAAAAAAAAATAAACAGGGAAGCTAATAATTCAGGTGGGCTAATAATTCAGGGGGGCTAATCATTTTCACTTCAACTGTATTATACAACACCACAGTTTAATAGGGTAAAAACTAAAGTATACTACAATATGTAATTTATCAGTTCATAATAGTTCATATGCCAATGAGTTAAGTGAATCATTTAATGTTTTAATTACTTCTTTGGTAAAAGAATTCCAAAAAATCAACACGTTACAGTAATTTCTTAAATATCTTGTGACATTTAAGGTTGAAGTAAATTTGCTGGAATTCAGCTTTGTCATCTTATCAATAAATAGCATTTTACTACTTACCATATTGGTGTTATTTTAAATCAAACAAATGTGTTGTTAAGCACACTAGATTTTTAAAACCTGGAAAGTACGAATCTTACTCGTAGAGAGAAACATATACAGTGTTTGATGTTTTTATGATTGCTTTTAATATTCTTAGGATGCGTGGAGTGACAGTGAAGGCAGAGTGACACTGGACACTCAACAGGACTATCAGCTGCTGGAAACCCATCAGTCCACTGAAGGCTTCTTTCTGCTCTTCAAAAGATCATTCAGCACCTGTGACCCACACGACTACATCATAGAGGCAAGTTACTAAACATCTCAAAGTAGAATAGCGAGAATGGAGGTAGGATAAAGCAATTGATAAAATTGAAACCAACCATTTAAATTTTTTGCTTCATTCAATGTTTATAGTGAAATGTGTTAAAAAGTTTTTTTTTCCCTTGCATCCATGATGCTCAATTTCCATATTACTTACTTTCTATCATAAAACAAAAATTAAAATATTTTGATAAATGTTCATGCTGCACTTTTCTATATAAGACCAGTGGTGGGGAATGTTACTTTTGAAAGTGCATTACAATATTGAGTTTCTCTTCTAAAAAAGTAACTAATTGCATTACTTAGTTACTTTTTTGAAAAGTAATGTGTTATATTACTTTTGAGTTACTTTTGTGTTACTTTTTCTTACCTGACTGAGGTTTGAACTCTTTCAGCGGGTGTTTTTTTCCCACCTTTTTAACAAGAAGCTCTACATTTAACAACCACCTATATAACCTACAGTACACCTTTATTTTAATCTTTTTTTTTTTTAAAGTAAAATAAAATTATAATTTGAGAACTCAATGAACACATAACTATATATATTCACTGTCTATTGAGATAAAGATTGCAAAAAAGCTTAAGAATACTATCAAGAAATAATTTATTAAGGTACATATTTTAAACCTTTCAAATGTTTAACAACAATATGAACAGTAAGACGATAAAAACATCCCTAAATCAAAATAAATCTTTGAGCTTTATTTTTTGAATAAATTTAACAAATTTATAATTAATTTCTCAAAACAGAAAAAAAACCTTACTATTACAAAACGTAGTTGCTACAGTGGCTGCATTTCCTCAACAACAAAAGCAATAACCCTTTTTTTTTTCTTTTTTTTTTAAGTCGAATCAATTGTTTTACCTATAGAACGTGAACTGGTGTCAATCATTTGTTGTTTAGCTGGAGGTGGGGTGCGGGTGTAGTGCTTCTCATCCAGGTTTTTTTTTTTTTATGTGTTTCTTGCAGTTGTCAAAAGTTTTACTTACACATAATCTACACTTAAAAAATCCACTTTGTTCTTGATGAGTTCAATATAACAAGAATTCATTGCAAAAATGTAAGTCTCTGGCCTGCCATTCTGACTGTGAGTGTTGACGGATGATTCGAGTTGTCGTGAAATGGTTTGCGTCATCAGTAATTACTAACATACTGGATACTCCATATTACTCTCAATAAACCCATATACTTAGATATTCAGTTACTAGAACAGTACACAGACTCATCTGCTGTGAAAAAAGAGGACCTGATGATGATAATGATGATGATTGTGAGCCGACTGTCTGTTCCATCGCAGCACGTGTGTGATTCAACCTGACTAAAGTCATTTTTATTTCATTTATGATTTTTAAATCCAATTAAGCAAGGAAAAAAGTAACTCACGTTACTCAAATAGTGTTACTTATTTTTAAAAGTAATGCTTTAATCGTTACTTTGGAAAAGTAATATTATTATGTAACATGCGTTATTTATAACACATTGCCCCCAACACTGCATATGATCATTAACATTCAGTATTTTATCTGATTTGGACATAAAGGCCCCAAAAGGTCAGTAGACACTTTCAACCTTCCATTGGTTCGTGGCAATAACAAACACAATAGGCAGGTGTGGCTCAAGGGTTCCACCTTCAAAAAGGTACATGTTTAGAAATTTAAAAAACACTTCTCTCAACAGTATGGCAGGATGTTTGTTACTTGTTACTTTGTATTTCTAACTGCCTCCTTGTATCCCAGAATAAAAAATAACTTTAAGTATCCCAAATAACGCTCAACACTTTTTGGAAATAACCTCATTGCACAAGTCCTCAAGAGTTAAATTGGATTAGACCATTAGCATCTCGCTCAAAATGTATAAATGATTTCCATAGTTTTCCTATTTAAAGCTTGACTATTCTGTAGATACATTGTGTTCTAAGACTGATTGGGCATTAAACATTGCTATTTCTAGGCTGATCAGTCAAGCTTTAAATGGGAAAAATATCTGATTATTTAAATTATTTGAGAAATGTTTGAGCAAGATGCTAATGGTCTAATCCTATTCAATGATTTATGCTAAGCTAAGTTAAAGGTGCTCTCACCAGACTTGCAGGTAGGTTGATTGGATTATACAATGGTAAAACTCAACTGTTTACCTAAAGATAATAATAAAATCTTTCCAGGAAGGCACTGTCCACATAATCTACACCATGCTGGAGCATCCCATCCTATCGTTGCATGAGCTCAATATATCCCGTCTCCAGCCTGGCGTCCAGCGAGTCCTGCTCCTGCGTCCAGACACCCCGTCCCCCCATCTCCCGAAAGATGTACGCACCCTGGAGGTCCTGGCCCCTGATGTCATCATCCCCACACAAGAGACTACTTACTGGTGCCATATCTATCAGCTCCCGCCAAATCTGCCCAAGAACCACATTGTCATGGTAACTTGAGAGCCACTCGCACATTACAAATAACCTTTCTATGTGAACTTTCAGAATGTTGTACCTATATAATTGAAGCATGTGAGGTACTTTGACCAATTATAATGCTCTTCAGTAAAACGCTAATGTAAGTGTGGGGTTATGGAAACTGAATCTGAATATAATTAGACTGAGTATGTGTGCGTTGGTGGTAAAGTGCTTGTGGAAGAGGCCTTCAGCCGCTTCTTTAGATGTGATGGTTTCAGGGTTTTACATGGAGGTTGGCAGCTCATTCCACCAGAGAAGAACAGAGAGGGTAAAGGTTTTCCTCACAATGAAGGAACAACAATGTTACAATGTAACAATGTTAACAATGTCAGTGACCTTAAATGCACAATGTAGAACTTATTGTTGTGTTTGAAGGCCATTTCACATTACACCAACACAAACCAACCTACCCTGCAGGCACAGGATGTCAACATGACGTCCTATTGACGTTGTACCCCAACGTATCCCAATGTCATGGGGACATTGGATTTGTTTGGAATAGAAAATGGGGTATACATCATAATCCAACGTCAGGCAAACGTCAATGTCCAACATCCCACCTAAAACGTTACCTCTTGTCGTTGTGTGGACGTTACCTGGACGTAAACCACTATGACATCTATCAGACATTGGATTTTGGTCACTTGCCAACACAACCAAAAATCAACCAAAAATCAACGTAGTTTGACGTTGTTATTGGACGTCAAAATAACGTTATCTTTAGACGCTGGCTAGACATTGAATTTTGATCACCTGAAACTAAAGTCTAACCTAATATCAACGTCTTATGATGTTGCTGTTATGCCTGTTGGGCTCTCTTTAGTATAGGAACTTATTTTGAACAAGCAATCACTTCAACACTAAAAAATATTTGACACGTTGTCATTATCATGTGACTTACATAACAGAATCTGTTGCATCACATAACTGCTATTCATAAATCTAGTCCAATGGCAGCATGGTAAAGTTAATTATCAATTATATGAGCACATTACAGAATCTTACGCCAAGCAGAAGGTCATCTGGACATTTTTGTAAATTTTTTTGTATTGTGATCGTCACATATTTCACTGATTTTGTTCCATGCATAGTAGAGAAGTATGCAATTTCTGATGTTGCCAATTTAAACATGGATGAATGCAATAGACCTTTGCACCAGTTTTGTTTCAGATGTTTCTTCAAAATTAGCAGGTTATTAATTCTATAAACAAATTAATCTTGTCTTGTTTTTTTTTTTTTTGTTTTTTGTTTTTTGCAGTATGAGTCAGTGATCACTCCAGGTAATGAAGCCATTGTTCATCACATTGAAGTGTTCGAATGCTCCCCTCAGATGGACATCGTACCACAGTACAGCGGCTCCTGTGATTCAAAGATGAAGCCGCGCAATCTTAATTATTGCAGACATGTTCTGGCTGCCTGGGCCATGGGAGCAGAGGTATGCAAGCTACTCTATTTGAACAATTTTTTACAATGAAATATATTTATAATTAACTGTTCTCTCAAGAATAGAAATGTGGATATCATTAACTCACCATTAGTTTAAACGTACGTGGCTTGTTTGCTTCTGTGGAACACAAACTGAAGAATGCTCATGCTACTCCTTTACCATGCATTAAAACCACAATGATGATTTGATTTTTCAAAATAAGTGTGCACTTTTGCTAGTAGAAATCGTGCTGGTAAACCTCACTTCCAAACTTCCAAGGCTTGACAAACTGCACTAGGTACAGTTGCAAGGACAGGGATGGGCAAACTCGATCCTGCAGGGTCAATGTCCATCAAAGTTTGCTCAAACACTAATGAAACACACCTGGATATGCTAATCAGTGTCTTCAAGATTACTAGAAAGCTAGATGCAGGTGTGTTTAAATAGGTTTGGAGCTAAACTCTGCTGGACACCGGCCCTCCAGGACAAAGTTTGTCCACAGTCTTTATTGTCCTTGTTATTGTACCCATATTATCATACCAGAGAAACCTGTTTGAATTGTGCATATAGTCAGGTAATGAGAAGCTACCAGGTTAAATTGGAGCCATGACCTGTATGGGAGTTTGATTTAGAGGATGAGAGTAACAGAGAGCAGGTAGTAAGAGCTGTGAAGGTAAACATAATTCCTTCGATTTTAAGAGATACACTAGGGCAGGAGGTCCAATCCTGTTTCTGGAGATCTACTTTCCTGCAGAGTTTAGCTTCAACCCTGATCAAACATCACTAAATCAACTAAGTTAGATCTTAAGCACTTTGGACTTTTCTCCCCATATACTTCTATTCAGTTTTGCAGTTTGCTGCATTGCAAAGTTCAAGCTTGGTGAACTCTGACCTGCATAATCGCATCATATGACTGTGTGAGACCAATCGATGATCAAAACTTCTCTGAACAGGAAATTAAAATAAGGACCAATTGCTTGCTTTTTTAAATGTCAAGTTATCTTGTTTGATCCCACCCCTTTTCACAAACTCTAGTGTGACTGCAGCTTAAAGGGCACATAGGTTACCCCTTTTTTCATATTTAATGTAAGTCTTTTTTGTCCCCAGAATGTGTCTGTAAGGCTTCAGCTCAAAACACCCATCAGATTATTTATTATAGCTGTCTGAAGTGTCTGTGTTTTAGCTGTGAAAAAGGTTGTTGCTGTTTTTTTATACTGGGCCTTTAAGGCTAGTCCTTCCCGCCCACCGTTCCCACGTGCCTGTCAGCAACATGCCTCAATCGCCGCCCTCGGCTGCCTCAGGAAGCAGATCTCACGTAACATTCATGAGAAATACTACAGTAAGAACTTTACTAATCAGTATTTGATGCATTCTTGGTGGAGTTGCAACAATGAGTCACACACAATGTCGTTACAAAGTTCACACGCACACACATAGCGCAGACACACACAGACACACAGACACACAGCGCAGACACACACACACATAGCGCAGACACAAACAACCACATAGCGCAGACACACACACACACACACACACAATGACAATGCGCGTTTAGCTTTGTTTATCTCCACTGCTGTATAGATATCTGGTATGTTAATGTACAAAATAAACCTGATTTAACGTCCACAAACCGGGATTGAAGCATCTTCTTTTATAATTTTTCTGACACGCATCTGTGCTGTTGAAGTGAATCTGAAGTGAATCGCTGTATTCATTACACACATGCACTGCTTTAAAACATTTTAAACTTGTAAAACTCACTCTTGATCTCGTTTAAAGTTGATTGATGATCCTAGCAAACTGAACAGACCTTTTATTCCTGGTTGCTTTGCGCTCGTCCTGTCTTGTTGATATAATTATATGCGTGACTATGGAGACATGTTAATGCGCGCAGCTGTCAATCAATATTGGTGGGCGGGGGGACCGCACTCTTGCGTCAAGTTGCGGTCAATCTAAAAACTGCTCCAATTGGTCCACCGTTTTTATGTTGTTAAATCTGAAAAAAAAAGGACTGGGTGTGTTTATATCACCCCAATTTGACAGTATATACACTATACCTCCACACGTCTGTCCAAACACCTTTGAAAGTAGATTTTCACCATAGGTGCCCTTTAAAGGAGAACCTGGTAATTACAGATAGATGTGTTTGTTCAAGGTTGCAGCTGAACTCTGCAGGAAGGTAGACTTTCAAAAACAGGATTGGGCACCCCTGCACTAGAGGTTACAGTCTTTATTGTCCTTGTTGGTGTACCCACTTCCTACACCAATGTTCGTGCAGTGACCTGTGATCTTTATTGTCACTGTTGGTGTGCTCACCTCCAATGCTTGCAATACCCTTACTGTTCTTACTAGCTGGCCTCTTTAACTCTCATGTACTTGGATTGAGGCAAGTTCAATCTGAAGGGTGTGAGGTGTAGAGTGGTGATTGTAACAGAGGTAAGCTCTAGTTGTTAATGTCTTTATTAGCATGCTGCCTCCCATAAAAGTCTAAACCCTGCCTGGAGTGGAGTAAGACCAGAAAGGGATACATTGGTTCCCAGACCCAGATAGGAGTGAGGTTTAGGGTTTGAGTGTAATGGGGAACAGCTAGCAAGAGTTGATTAGATAAATCTCCTTCCTTTAGCTTGAAGCAGACTAAATGTAAACGAATAAGAAGTTAATGAGGGTAAGGGCAGCTTCAATTTTTAGCCCTTTGTCAACATTCTCATGACTATGCTTTAAGGCAGAGATCACAAAACTCAGTCGGGCCGGTGTCCAGAGTCTGGAGTTGTGCTCTAATTCTAATCAAACACACCTGAAAAAGCTAATCAAGGTCTTATTAGTCATACTAGATCAGGGGTGTCCAAACTCGGTCCTGAAGGGCCAGTGTCCTGCAGATTTTAGCTCCAACTTGCCTCAACACACCTGCAAGGATGTTTCTAATAAGTCTAGTAAGAACTTGATTGGCTTGCCCAGGTGTGTCTGATTGGGGTTGGAACTAAACGTTGCAGGACACCGGCCCTCCAGGACCAAGTTTGAGCACCCCTGTACTAGCTAGCTGGCAGCTAGCTCTCTGCAACTCCGGCATTCAGGCCAAATCTTCCCACTGGCCTGTCCATCATGGCCTCCTAACCTTCCCCATATCATAATTGGCTTTATCACTCTGTCTTCTCTCCACCAATTAGCTGGTGTGTGGTCTGGCGCAAAATGGCTGCCACGCATCATCCAGGTGGATGCTGCACACTGGTGGTGGATGAGGAGATTATCCCTCCCCCTTAGATGAAATCTGACTTATTCAAGAACTCCCTGGTCGTCTATACACAGCAATGGACCCGATCTTCAGACACTTACCAAAAACATAGTCAAAACAGTCCAATTGTCTTCAGTGTGAACATGTACCCTATACTTACACTGAGCTGAATAATCCTTATGTTGTTTAATGTGCACACAAAATATCCTTGTAGCTTGATAATATTCCAATTGATCCACTTAAGACACATGGACTGTTTGGCAATGTTTTTGGTACCTTTCTGGACCATTTGCGTCAATAGAGGATAAGAGAGTTCTTGGATTTCACCAAAAATATCTTTATTTTTGTTTTTAAAGATGAATGAAGGTCTCATGCGGGTGAGCAGTTAATAAAATAATTTTAAAAATTTGGGCTAACTAACCCTTTAAGACGCTAGTTCCATTCCTGTTTTGAGTGGGGTCAGTAGTACTGATGGTTGGTGAGTATTTAAATGGGTGATTGTAATGCAGTATCCTTGAAAGTGCACTGCCTCCTGTGCCTAGATAGACACTGGTTCAAATCTTGCTTTGAGTAGGATGAGTAAAACAGGAGGGAAATGCGGTTTAGAGGGTGAACGTATCCAAGATCAGTTGTGATTTTTAGAGTCCTTGCAGTGCACTGCCTCTGATGCCAAAGTTGAGATACCTCACTCGCCTGGCCTCAAGGAGCAACATAGACCATGGAGTCTTCAGCATCTTTGTATTGCACCACTCTGTTGTGCCCATCTCCCATGGATGCCGGCTTGAATCCCACTCGGATCAGGGCAAGTAGAACCGAAGAGGTTACATGGGCTTTCAATGTTTCAAAGCATTTCATCATTAAGCATATCCATAGAGGTCACTTTCTACATCAGCTTCTCCATCTTTACCGCTAAGTTTGCAGGCTAAAAACAGAACATATGATTATGAGCATCTTTAGAAGTCCATTTTAGGAGGCAAACATACAGATGGGCTTTATCTGTGCCAATTCGCCCACTCTAGGTAGGTGCCAGTCATGGTTTTGAGCAGAACTGTGAGCCAATCTGAAAGCAGAGGCGTCCTGATAAATCAGTTATGGAGCCAAGGAGCGATGCTGAGCTCGGAGAGAGATATAGAGAGGGAGAGAGGGAGAGGGAGAGAGAGAGAGGCAGGCCTCCAATGAGATTACATGGGAGTAAAACGAACACAAATCATGTGTTCTGCTAGCTGCCAATGTCAAGCTGGAGAGATGAGATTATGTAGCAAAATTTAGATGTTTTTCTTTAGTCGGCTGCAGATCTTTTATTTTTTTTCTCTCATCATTTCATTTTTAAATGTTTTTAATGCCTTGTGAGAGAAGGAGGGGGAGTGGGTGAGAGCCAGGAGAGTGTGATGGAGAGAGAAATGGGAATGGGGCGAGAAACTGGAGGTGGAAGTAGGACAGTTACGTAAAACAGTCTTTTTACGAGTCTTAAAGTAGACAGATAAAGGTTTAGGTTTCGACTTTGCTGTCCTTCATAAGTCTGAAACGACGGTCATGAACTGTCATGGAACTACAGGGCTTTTCTGGCTCTGGCGGAGTCGGAGTTGGCATAAGCTTCTTGTGCATTGGCTCAAATATCTTTTAGCCCGCAAAGCATAAATCAGAAGCTACACTGCATCACAATCAATCTTTTTAAAGTTCATATAAAGTGTGTCTGTACAGCCATTCTACTATCCTGCTGACGCTGGTTTGCCTATGGGAGGAGAAGGATCTTCTAGGTTTCTTCGTCTTGAAGTTCATTACCACAACCCTCTCCTTTTATCAGGTACACAACAGGGACATAAACTGTGTCAAATACTTCTGACCAGTATTTGGTATTTTTAGTATTATTGTATTTTGATATAGCTGGTGGGACATTTTTGGTTAACAGATCCACTTATATGGTCAATTAACTATGACTATGTTCAGAATGTTCCATTATTTTGTGCTGTTTACACATTACAGTATATTGCTAAATATACTGAATCAAATCAAAATCAAAATTATAGGTGCCCTCAACACGTTATTTTGCCTCCAGTTCTTCCTGTCAACCAAGAGATATACTGTAATAACCCTGCTTAAAAAGTAAACTATATACAAAATTAAGAATTAAAACTTATTACAATGTGCCTAATAGCAGCACAGAAACCCTGTATTATTTATATAATCTTGTTTAATAAATTGTAATTTATTAAAATGTGCAACCTTAAAAAATTGTACTAAATGTTATTATACATCTACTTAAAATGATTCAAATATTTTTAAATGATTATAGCTTAGTATAAACATTTAAATGACATTTAATTAATATTTTAGATAATTAAATATAGCTTTTTAATATACCATCAAATGACTTTGGCCTTAAACAGGCCTGACAAGATTAATTTGTAATATAAATTATTATTCATACACTGAATTACATATATACAGTAGTCTTGAACAGTGTTGAAGTTCATTACCACAACACTACTTATTTCAGGTACACAAGAGGGACACAAACTATGTCAAATACTTCAGGCTAGTATTTTTATTATAGCTGGTGGGAGATTTTTGGCTAACAGATCCACTCATATAGTCAATTGACTATGACTGTGTTCAGAATGTTGCATCATTTTGTGCTGTTTACACACTATATTGCTCAATATACTTTAAACTTTAAATCAAAATTATAGGTGCCCTGCACAAGTCATTAAGCCTCTAGTAATTCTTGTGTACCAAGAGATGTATAACCCTCCTTAAAAAGTAAACTATATACAAAATTAACAAATAAAACATATAACTAATACAATTTGTCTAATAGCAACACACAAACCCTGTAATATTTATATAACCTTGTATAATTAATTGTAATTACTGTAGTAAATACAAAATGTGTAAACTAAATATAATGTTACAAAATTTTGTTTTACAGTTGAAGTCAGAATTATTAGCCCCCTCTGAATTATTAGACTATTATGTTTATATTTTCCCCCAATTTCTGTTTAACAAAGAGATTTTTTTTCTACACATTTCTAAACAATAGTAACTCATTTCTAATTACTGATTTATTTTGTCTTTGCCATAATGACAGTAAATTATATTTTACTAGATATTTTTAAGACACTTCTATACAGATTAAAGTGAGATTTAAAGACTTAACTGGGTTAATTAGGTTAAGTAGGGGGGTTAGGGAAGTCATTGTAAAACGATGATTTGTTCTGTAGATTATCGAAAAACATAGTTAAAAGAGGCTAATAATTTTGACCGTAAAATGTTTTTAAAAAAAACTAAAAACTGCTTTTATTTAGTTGAAATAAAACCAATCAGACTTTCTCTAGAAGAAAAAATATTATCAGACATACTATGAAAATTTCCTTGCTCCATTGAACATCATTTGCGAAATATTTAAAAAAGAAAATTTAAAGCGAGGCTAATAATTCTGACTTCAGCTGTACATATATATTTAAAATGATTTAAACAGTTTTAAATGATTATAGCTCAGTATAAACATTTAAAATAACAATTAATTAGCATTTTAGATCATTAAATATAGCTTTTTAATATACCATCCAATGACTCTAGTCTTAAAAATCCCCTATTTCGCATTAAAAAAGGTCATATTTTGCTTTTGGGGTCCCCGCAACATGCTGATAGGTGTACAAGATAAAAAAACACTTTCATTGTCTTATAATATGCATTTATTTTAACCTAATTATCCCAGCGACTCCCATATGAATCATTCAGCGATTCATTTGTTCCCAAACCTCTCCAAACTAAACCACACAAACAAGGATAACATGCAAACTCCACACAGAAACACCAACTGACCCAGCCAAGGCTCTAACCAGCAACCTTCTTGCTGTGAGGCGAATGTGCTATCCACTATGCCATCGTGCAGTCCTAATAAAATACAATTAATGGGAAATTTATTAAATAACATAAATAATTCTCGTGGTTAATCAGCTATACTAATAAAAAGGACTTCAATTCCAGATCTGCGTTTACATTACTGTGAATGCTGGGTTTAGGGGTGGGATAGGGATAGACGTTAATAAAATACAATCAATGGGAAATTTAATTAATGATATAAATAACGCTTGTTAACTTCCGTCCGCAGCCATATGTGATAGCTGATTAACCATGTGGATGGATGATAACAGCCTTCTGAGTATACCAGTAGGCGCAGAAGGCCCCTAAAGGCCCATATCTATCAGCTGATAACCACTGGTAAAAGCTGATTTATGCTTATGCGTCAAGTGCACGCGTATGCTATGGCGCAGCCTACGTGTGGACGCATAGCTCTTGCCGTGGCCAACGTGACGTTGACGTGCACCCCTGAAAAAATGTTACTACGTTGCAACGATGTGTAGAGCAAGCTCTGTGATTGGACTCTGTGATTGATCATCAAGCTCTGTGATTGGACGGCTTGGTAGTGCTGACTAGATTGGAGGTGATAGCCGCGTTAGCCAGATGCAGCGAGTGTTTACAAACTCTATAAAATACACAAGAAATGTCACTCGTGTACTTTTAAATAGGAAAAAGTGTAACTGTCAATATGGTGAATGAAGCCCCGCCTTTTAGTACGGTAGCCAATCAGCGATCGCTATAGAATGACAATTCTCCAGGGGAGGGGCTCAGACCAGACGTGAGTTTCTGCAGATTTTGTGTGATACAAACAATTAGAAATTAAACTAAAGAGACAGTTGTCGTTTAATTTTATTGGTTTTTCGTAATATGAAATGTAATTGTAATCTTGGCAAGTAGTTTTGGAGAATTTGATGTTTCCCATTTCAAACAGAATGCCCGAGAGGCCTTTTAAAGATGGCCGACGAGTGAAATGACTTGCCTTAAAAGGACTTTGTTGTTTACAAGTGTCGAGTCTCCAGATGGAGACTGTTGTTTTGTGTTTACCTTATGGTTAAAGTTGTTGCACGTCCGCTGATTCCAGACTCAAAATGAGTGAGTTTGAGCTACTTGTACATTAAGGTAGCGTTCAGAAAAAACAAAAAACTAGTGAAGAAATTTAACACAGAGGAAAATAAATACCTATGGCTAGCTAGTGTTTATGAAGTGTTATTGCGGAGCAACTGAAACAGCACTCAGAAGTATAAAACCATGGCTAGGTGCATTGCATGAGCCATGGGTCACGCCAATCACTTGACGCAGAAGTATAAACCAGCCTTACGTTTATTCAATCTAGTGATAATATTCGAATCGGCTGGAAAAAACGGTTGTTCATTGTTAGTTTATGTAAAGTCACAGTCCATAACTAATCTTAACAAATAAGAATGTGGATGCACCAGCAGGGCCGGAGTGGGACTCATTTTCAGCCCTGGAGTTTCAAGCCAGACCGGCCCACCTCAGTTCACGACTGATTCCAATTCAGTTACTAATGGCACTATCACGTTTTTTTCAAGAAAACTGCTGCTTTAGAAATTCAAATGTTCAACAGCCCTAACAGTATTTTATGTCTTAACAATAAAATCGAAAAAAAAACTAAAAAATTTTCATGGGAGATTCAATCACAGGTCTGCAACATTGAAATGCAATGTGCTTACCACTGGACCACATTGGCGCTATTACAGTGAGAGTAAAAAATAACTAATGACTTGCGACCCTTAAGACACAGCACTACTTTCTTTTGATGGCTCAATCTTTTTCTCCTATTTTTAGATTTCTGATCAAGTTATGTCAGATTTATTAATGTAGTGAATCATTTGATTTTCATTGAGCAGGTGTTTTATTCATTTTATTCGAATTCTTACATTCACTAAGGTGCCGCTGTTTGGCGTCGATAGTTGCATTACATCATCATCATTAACGTTAGTTAACCTGCAGGCTGCATTTTTCTCACGGGGCTGCGAGAAAATAAATAAAAAGAGCGGCACTACGGTAAAATAATGATTAAAAAGAGTAAAGCTATGGTCAAATAAATAAATAGAAGAAAAAAAGTGTGACTGCTGAGAGTGCAAGCAGATAGGGACACCGGCCCTCGTTCCCAAAAAACAGACCGGCCCACCGGGAATTCTCCCGGTCCTCCCGATTAGCCAATCCGGGCCTGTGCACTAGTAAATGCTGAAGTAGGATTAATAAATGCTGTAAAAGTATTGTTCATAATAAGTTCATGATAGTAAACACATTAACTAATAAAACCTTATTGTAAAGTGTGACCTACAAACGTAGCCCATTTTAAAAACTGGAATGGAAATCTGCTCAAGCTAATATGCTAATATGTAACTGATGTTTCCCCTCATTTTTTATCTAACCTCTTCTCTAGTCGACTTGCTTTCATTTTTGAATGCAAAACTCTTTTTTTCTTCACTCACTCTGTGTGTTTGTGGCAGGGCGGAGGGACTCCTCGGGCATTCGTTTATGGTACAGTCCATCTCTGCGGAGGTTTGACGCAGGCATCATGGAGCTTGGGCTGGTCTACACTCCTGTGATGGCCATTCCCCCCCGCCAGCGCTCTTTCCAGCTCACTGGATACTGCACCGCCAAATGCACACAGACGGTCTGAACTTCTCACAAACATCCCCAAATACTGCACTTCACTCAAGCCAGCCGGAGAAATTCAAGATGCAACCTAAAGCTGCTACAGTCTCGACTACAATACCAATACTACTAACCGCACTCAGACTTTCAATTCAAGTAAAACATTTTGGGTGGCATCCTGAAAATGTTGAAATACTGAATTAAGGTCGTTTTTCACCACATTATTCGATCACGAGTGATTTTCCACCAAGATGGAAAAATACTCCCAATTAAGGTGCAATAAAAGTCTAATAAAGCAGCCCACAGTGGATAAAGATTGAAAACAAAACATTGTTATGTAACTTACATACTGTGTAACTTCAAGTCGGTCATTTGTTTGAGCTAATCAACCGGAACAATTGCAATTAAGAAAAAACAAAACAATCTGAACACTATCAGGGTTTCCCAATCCTGTTCCTGGTGACACACCAACAGTACATGTTTTGGATGAACCCATAACTTCAGGTTTTGGAGTCTTCTGAGTTGAGTTCTGATGACTTGGTTCAAGCGTGTTTGATTAGGGAGAGGTTAAAAATGTGTACTGTTGGTGTGCCTTCAGGAACAGGGTTGGGAAACACTGCGCTAAAAACAACAAAATGGAATCTAATTCATAGTAGTAAGATGGCAAAGTTTAGTAATTAGTATATAGAATATAGTGTTGGGGCAGCACGGTAGCACAGTAGGTAGCACAACCCTTCACAGCAAGAAGGTCGCTCGTTCAAGCCTCGACTAGGTCAGTTGGCATTCTGTGTGGAGTTTGCTTGTTCTCCCCATGTTGGTGTGTGTTTCCTCTGGGTGCTCCAGTTTCCCCTACAAGTCCAAACATATGCGCTAAAGGTGAATTGAGTAAGCTAAACTATCTGTGGTGTGTGTGAATTAGTGTGTATGGATATTTCCCAGTGATGGCTTGCAGCTGGAAGGGCATCCGCTGTATAAAACATATGCTGGATAAGTTGGCGGTTCATTCTGCTGTGGTGACCCCAGATAAATAAAGGGACTAAGCTGAAAAGAAAATGAATGAATGAATGAATGAATGAATGAATGAATGAATGAATGAATTTAGTGTTTTTGTTAGACTCTAAAAAAATGTTGGGTCAAATACGAACATCCCCAATGTTGGGTTATAGGATCCCATCTTTTTACTATTTTTTTTTTTCAATCAAATAGCCCAAAGGTTGGGTTTGTCCATATTTGACCCAACATTTCTTCTCCTTCATGTGTGTCTTCATTCATTCATTCATTCATTCATTCATTTTCTTTTCGGCTTAGTCCTTTTATTAATCTGGGGTTGCCCGAGCGGAATGAACTGCCAACTTCAGCATATTTTTACACAGCCAATGCCCAACCCATCACTGGAAACACCCATAAACTCCATTAACACAAATACACTTTTGACAATTCAGCTTACCCAATTCACCTATAGTGCATGTCTTTGGACTTGAGGGAAACCTGAGCACCCGGAAGAAACCCACGTCAACACAGGGAGATCATGTCTTTAATTTACCCTAATTTAGTATATTTATTTGTATGTCATGTTTACTTTTCCCCTCCAGTATTCATTTTAGAAAAGTGGTTATTGGCAAGTACAGTCCAACCTATCTATTATCAGCAAAATCCATTCAAGAATTCACACTTAGATATTGCTTGATAATAATAGCAGGTTTGGCATGATGTCCTGAGAGAGAACCCTGAGCTCAGTGACAATTTAGCCCAGGGCTCCCGCCTGATCAATGAGCATGTAAGGGGAGTATAAGATATGAGGTAGTTTTCCAGAGCTCCCCCTTGTAAGGGAGAAAAGTGGGAGATGGGGTGGATGGGGGGTTTCTTCAGAAAACACAGATAAGGGAATAGCTTTATCCAGCTACTTATAGTGAGTTTGGATGAATCTGATTGGCTAACTAACGATTACAGATGAGACAAGCTGCGATCAACTATATCACATGCTCCTCTCGAAATTTGTTTGTGAAACTTCCCATATTGTTCGACCTCTACAATCTACTAATACATTTTTTTAAAAAGTTTGTCCATACTTAACCCAGCATAGGGAAACAACCCATATATTTTTTTATAGAAGGTCATTTATTATTATTATTCTTATTATTTTTAATAATTAGTGTTTTCAGATCTAAGTATTTAATCTATAAAAAAATATGGGTTGTATTGACCTGACATTGGGTCAAGTATGGATAAACACAACCATATAAATTGAATGTAATATAAATTTAACTGAAACAGTTGGTTTTATCCATGTTTTATCCAATGTTGGGTTAACTCAGCAATTATCAGAACTAGATGAAATATAGATTAGATACAACTGTGTTAGAATGTCTTTTTAAAAATGCAATAAATACATTTTATTTATCTAAAAATAAAGGGCAGACTGATGATGACAGCCTGAATTATTCACACTGTAAATAATGCTTTGTTGTAATAATTCAAATCCCATTCCTTCATTTCTTTTGTTTGGATACACTGGAGTTGATACATATACTTCCATAAATGTAAAAATAAGAGTTATAAAACAGTGTAATGTCTTTTCTAGGCTCTTCCAGTAGGGGGCATACACATCTTTGCCTCCCAGCTGCACACTCATCTGGCCGGTCTTGGGGTCAGGACTGTCTTGGTGCGAGGAGGTCAAGAGGTGGAGGTGGTGCAGGAGGACAAACATTTCAGCACACATTACCAGGTATCGACAAATATAAGTTGTAACTTTAAGTTTTATCGTGATGTACCATCAACTCTGCATCTGAAATGACTTTTCCTTTCTGATGAAATCACCAAGCCTTCTTATTTTTTAACCAATCCCTGCCAACAACTTACTTAAAGACCACACCCACTTTACATAATGCGTGTTTCTCAACCACATTCCTGGAGGACCACCAGCTCTAAACATTATCAATAGCTGTGTCCTAAATGGCACACTATACATTATGTACTTATGCACTTACACACTCAACAGCATAGTATATGTATGTGGTGTCGTCCCAATTGGAACACAAATTTTTTTTAACTAGGCAGAAACTCAAACCGTTTCTCTGATGACGTTTGACGGATGCCAAATAAGTGAAATAAATGACCAAACTACCAAATAATACTTTACATGAGTATAACTGCATTCACCATCAGGAGGCAGTATTATCACTCTTGCAGGAGAATTTTGTTTGCACAATCCAAAATAAATAAAGGAATCCAACATCAGTGCCCGAAAGCTTCACCCATTTCGCTACATTAGCAAAGCAGCAGCCGCTGAGTGTGTGAAGTGTCCAACATACCATACTTAATTTTAACGGTTGAAGAAGTGAATCATCCAGGTAATTAATTTAAAGTGTGAACGCACAACTTACACTATTTATACTACAAAATGCCATTGAATAGTGCAAAAGTATGCGATTTGGGACGCACCTCATGTCTCCATAACCAAACACATCTGATTCAGATCATCAGCTTGTTAGCAGAGACTGAAAGACCTGTAATGGCTGTGACAGACAGAGGAGACATCTAAAACATGCAGTGTTGGTGGGCCTCCAGGAACTTGGTTGAGAAACACTGATCTAATCAATTCTCAATGTGTAAAATGAGCTATTGTCCTACTGTTTTAACTGATTTTTTTTTTAAGAGATTCTTAATCTGAGGAAAATGCTGATGGTTTATAATATAATAATAATAATGATAAAATATCTTAATGGAAAGGTAACAAATTAATTTAAAATATAGAAACAACACTTATTTTTATATGACCTAAATGTCATATGACCATTAACCAACACCAGACATAAGCATGTAAATGTGTTGTGAAATTATTTAAACGCGACTTAAAATTTCAGACTATACTTAAATATTTATGTACTATATATAATTAAATTATTTAGGTCAAAGAGGAGAGCAGTAATTTCAGTGTTCTACACTCCACAAAAATGCTGCCTGTTCAAACTACTTTTTTTAAATGAACTACAACCACAATTTATTAAAAAAATTTTGTGAATTGTTTTATGTTCAATACACTTAAACTTGTTAAGTTAGCTTAACCCTGAACCCTGCAATTTTTACATTGTAGATCAATCACAAATAGAAGATCGGATATATATCTATAATTATGTACAAATATGTTAGTTTTAATTTTTAAATACTTACCGGTTTATTAGGTACACCTGTTTAACTGCTCATTACAAAAAAATCTAATCAGCCAATCACAGGGCTGAGCCAATCAAGACAATCTGCTGCAGTTCAAACCGAGCATCAGAATGGGGAAGAAAAGGGATTTAAGTGACATGGAATGTGGCATGGTTGTTGGTGCCAGACAGGTTGGTCTGAGTATTTCAGAAATTGCTGATCTACTCAATAGTATCTGGATGCAGCCTTTATGATGCAAGCTGAGATTGCATAACTCAGCGATGCAATGTCAGACACAATACACTCAAATGGAGCAAGTGACGTCACTGTTATGGGTAGGGTTAGGTGAGCCTATTAAAAAGCATTGGATGCAGCTCAGATTGCACTGCACCAGGTCTGCATCCAGACCCCTCTCGATCTACAGGGATTTTCATGCACAATCATCTCTAGGGTTTACGAATAGTCTGAAAAAGAGAAAATATCCAGTTCTGTGGACCCAAATGCATTGCTGATGCCAGAGGTCAGAGGAGAATGGCCATACTTGTTTTTAGCTGATAGGCAGGCAACAGTAACTCGAATAACCAGTCGTATGGGCTACAGCAGCAGAAGACCATACCGGGTCCGGGTGCCATTCTTCCATGCAAAGAACAGGAAATTGTGGCTACAATTTACACAGGCTCAGCAAAATTGGATAATAGAATATTGGAAAAACGTTTCCTGATCTAATGAGTCTTAATTTCTGCTGCTACAGTCAGATGGTAGGGTCAGAATTTGGCATCAACAACATTAATGCATGGATCCATATTGCCTTGTATCAAAGGTTCAGACTGGTGGTGGCTGTGTAATGGTGTGGCGGATATTGGGCACACTTTGGGCCCATTAGTACCAATTGAGCATGGTGTCAAAGCCACAGCCTACCTGAGTATTACTACTGACTGTGTCCATCCCTTTATGACCAAAGTGTATCCTTCCAGCAGGATAATGCGCTTTGTCATAAAGCGCGAATCATCTCAGACTGGTTTGCTGAACATTACAATGAGTTCACTGAACTCAAATGGCCTCCACAGTCACCAAATCTCAATCCAATAGAGCATCTTTGGGATGTGGTAGTAGGGGAGATTCGCATCATGGATGTGCAGCCGACAAATCTGCAGCAACTGCATGATGCTATCATGTCAATATGGACCAAAATCTCTGAGAAATATTTCCAGTACCTTGTTGAATCTATGCCACGAAGAATTAAGGCAGTTCTAAAGCAAAAAAGGGGGTCAAACCCAGCACTAGTAAGGTGTACCTAATAAAGTGGCCAGTGAGTGTATTAATACATATTTGCAATGGTTGTAAAAACCATAGGCAGCCTCCATTCTTGCAATATTTTGAAATATATGATGCATATATGCCATTTTATATATGTAAAATTTAAAAATGAACTTGTTTGTCATACGTAATTTGCATATTTTCGATTTATCAGCTATCTATATGGGAACCTTTGCAGGTTTAAAAAAAATGTGCGCAATCTATGCTCATAAATAGTCGTTCATAAACAACACATACTTTGATCCTGGAGGACTGTAGTTGTTTCTAGGGCCTGGAGGGGTTTGGTTCATACTGTTGATGCTGTTTTCTGCTGCAAAAGCAAATCCACTTTTCATGCACTTCAAAAGGATGGAGACTTGCCCTCAAAATGATATGGTAAAACAACACCATTGTTACAGTTCATATCACGTTTACTGTACAAGTGCAGAGAAAAACTGCAAGTTGAAAAGATTGGATGCAGCTAAATCTATTTTAGGACAGCCAAAAATCTAAATTCATAACCTTTGGAATAGCATATTATGGCACTTTAGGAATAGTTTCACACTGACGTATACATGCAAATATGTGACGGAAAATGTATATTTAAGGTGATACTTCACACAGTTCATCTTACCCTTCCTCCTTTGCCATATACAGTTAAAGTCAAAATTATTAGCTCCCCTGAATTATTAGACTCCCTGATTATTTTTTCCCAAATTTTTGTTTACGGGGAGATTTCTTTAACACATTTCTAAACATAATAGTTTTAATAACTAACTTCTAATAACTGATTTATTTTATCTTTGCCATAATGAGAGTAAATAATATTACACTAGATATTTTTCAAGACACTTCTATACAGATTAAAGTGACATTTAAAGGCTTAACTAGGTTAATTGGGTTAACTAGGCAGGTTAGGGTAATTAACCAAGTTATTGTATAATGATGGTTTGTTCTGTAGACTATCGGAAAAAAATATAGCTTAAAGGGGGTAATAACTTTGACCTGAAAATGGTGTTAAAAAAATTAATAACTGCTTTTATTTTAGCTGAAATAAAACAAATAAGACTTTCTCCAGAAGAAAAAATATTATCAGACATACTGTGAAAATTTCTTTTCTCTGTTAAACATAATTTGGGATATATTTAAAAAAGAAAAAAAATTAAAAGGGAGGCTAATAATTCTCACTTCAACTGTATATTATTACATATTTACATATACATTCATATTTATATTTAATGAGTAATGCACATAAGTGTTTCATATATAAATAAATACATATATGTGCATGTTTATTTATTCATTTTCCTTCAGCTTAGTCCCAGTTTAGTTATTTATCAGATGTTGCCACAGCGGAATGAACCGCCAACTATTTCAGTGCGTTTTACACAGCAGATGCCCTTCCAGCGGCAACCAAGTACTGGGAAACATCCATTTACACATGCACTCATACATTACGGACAATTTAGTTTATCCTTTCTATTAGGGTCCAATAATTACGCTCAAAATTATCATTTTAAAGGGCGATGTGGTGGTGCAGTAGGTAGTGCTGTCGTCTCAAAGTAAGAAGGTCGCTGGTTCAAGTCTCGGCTGGGTCAGTTGCCATTTCTGTGTAGAGTTTGCATGTTCTCCTCGTGCTCGCGTGAGTTTCCTCTGGGTGCTTTGGTTTCCCTCACAGTCCAAAGACATGCGGTACAGGTGAATTGGGTAAGCTAAATTGTCCGTAGTGTATGTGTGTGAATGAGAGTGTATGGGTGTTGCCCAGTGATTGGTTGCAGCTGGAAGGGTATCGGCTGCATAAAACATGAGCTGAATAAGTTGCCGGTTCATTCCGCTGTGGCGACCCCAGATTAATAAAGGGACTAAGCCGAAAAGAAAATAAGTAATCGAATGACAGTTTAATTTTTATAGCTAATGAGAAGGTCATTAGCTAACAAATAAAATAAATTTTTTTTCTTTCTCTGGTTTTTAAAAAATTAGATTTTCTTTTGCGTCAAAACCAGTTAAATCTACCAGTGCCTATTTTGCAAAAACCTCTAAATCCACCTGTTGGGACAAGACACTGTATTTAGGTGAAAAATTACTAAAGAAGCAATTAGAAATTATTTACCAAACATAAAACACATTACACCATCTGTCAAGTTAGTGGCGGTTCATTACGCTGTGGTAAACCAGGAAAAAAGCATAAGGAAAATTAATAAATGAAATCTGTCAAGTGCATTAATCAATAACATTAAAACTGCCATTAGTTAAATATTAATAATCTGTTGTCATTTCTGATTTTAGGGATTTAGATTGAATAAAAGTAGAGCAATGTAAACATTGCAAACATTGTAAACTAAGCTTGCTAGATTCAAATATTGATGTTTTGCATAAAACATTGCGAAACATCAACATTTGTGCATTGCCCATTAATATAAAAAGCATATCAGATGTATAGGTATAATGAAGTAATATAAATAATGTATAGTTTTATATAATATTTTCATCTTTTAAAAAATAGCTTACATTAGCAGATAAATCACAAGGTGGGTCTACAGGGCAAAAAGGGTATGTTTTGGAAACAATTTTAGGGGCTGTCATTCCTTCATTCTTACCATACTCACAGTCGCTTTTTCATCTCTATTGTTTATCCTCATAGCATCCATGTGGGATAAAAGAACGGCATCTCAACTGTCTTTTGTTAAACGTAGCTGCCATTTATTGTATAGTAAATCGGACTCAGGCAGAGTAGCGTCGCTGCGCAAACAAACGTTATGAATGCATGCTTCCCTTCCGACTGTATACAGTGTGTTTTGTTTTTCTTATAAAGCACAGAGTTTTAAGGTAGGGGACATTTTCATTTGCCGTTCACAGCTCATCAAACTTTGTCTTTTAAAATCAAAACGGAAGCAGAATAAAACGCTCTCCTCATACAAGCCAGTGTATCTGGGCGCTGCTACATCAAAAATAAATGATTTGATTCGTGCCTTCTGATGAGTTCTTTGGATATATAGCGGCTTTTGCTGTCAAAGTGGCGTTTAGCGGCTTTTGCCAACAAACTTATTTCTGAATGCGCTGACACTGCAATTTAGATGATTAGAAGCAAATCTATTTGTTGGTGGTTCTACGTGCCTAAAGCATTTACTCAATGTCATTAGCTCATTGTTGGCGGAAGTGGCATTTAGCGGCTTTTGCATCGGAACTTTTCATATGTATATGCACAATGAATTGGTGCCATGACCCAGATGGACATTATTATTATCAATTTATGCATTTTCCTTTAGTTTAGTCCATTTATTAATCTGGGGTCACCACAGCGGAATGAAATATGTTTTACACGGTGGATGCCCTTCCAGCTGCAACCCAGTATTGGGAAACAGCCATAGACTCACTCACTCACTCACAAACACACACACACACACACACACACTAAGGTCAATTTAGATGATCCAATTCACTTATACCGCATGTCTTTGGATTGAATTGGTGCCATGACCCGGATGGCCATTAGTATTAATTTTTATATTATTATAAGTATTTTAAATCAATGCGTGCTAATTCATTTAAATAAATATTTGACTATTTATTTTTATATTTTAATTATTAAATAATAATCTCATACACAATTTTATTTGTTTAATAATTTTACATGTATTTTACAAATACATCAGTTTAAAAACCCTCAATAGAACAAGGTTGAGAGTTGCACATAAAAGTTCTTAAAAAAGTTTTTTTTGTTAGTGTAAAGAATTTTAATAATTCAAAGAACCCTTTTGACACTACAAAGAACATTTTGTGCTATATGAAAAGAGTTTGATGAATGTCATAATAATTATAACAAGCCACAAAATGCTATTCAAATGTTATTCAAATACGCATTCCACACACACAGTACAAGCAAACCTCAATTAACATCTGCAACCTTCTCTCTTTTCTCCAGATCATCCGTGTTTTACAGAAGATGGTGACTGTTCTGCCAGTAAGTTGCTCTTCACACATGTAAGAACTGTAGCACATTTAAACGCGAGAAAGAGCGAATCTGCAGACATTACAGAAAATGCCTGCAGGCTTTAAGAGCCGAACAACAGCGCAGATCTCCAGCATTCAGACTGTCAATACGAGCCCACACACTCGCTCAAGCTGCCAATTTAATGCTAACCTGCCAACAGACATTCACTGGAGCTCTGCAAATAGCCTTTGTGAACGTGTGTGTGTGGTGTTTCTCACAGGGCGATGCTCTGCTCACGACGTGCAGATTCAACACCGAGGACAGAAGCAAAGTTACTGTGGTGAGTCTGAGAGACTTTGCAGAATCACATGAAGACACCAATAGAGAATGGGAATGTGTCTTTATAGCATTATGCATTATGGGAATTCAGGACATGGTAGCCTGGAACCTTTTGATCTCTTTAGGTTTACTGTGTTATATACAGTAAACAGTGTTTCATTTTATTCCAAGTGTTTATAGGGTGTTTTCCAAATGTATTATTTAAAAATGGTCAGACTTTTCTGTGGTGATTTGCATTGCTCCTAAGCGTGCTTGAAAACATAGAAGAACCCAACTTGCCATGACAGATTCCCATTCTCTATACTTTACAATCTCTTTAAGTTTCATAAATGATGGATGAAATGATTTAGATGTTAGATGTTGATTGGCTTCTTCATTTTGCACAAACTGTTGGTAAAAATACATTTGAGTTCAGCATGATTTTATATAATATAAATAAAGAGCCCATATTATACATGAAATAGGGTCATATTTTGGTAGTAAGGGTCTCCAACAACAGTCTAATATGCATGCAAGGTCAAAAAACACTTTCATTATCTTGTAATTAGCATTTATTTTTACCTAATTATTCCAGCGACTCTTATGTGAATCGTTCAGTGATTCATTTGTTCCCAAACCCCTCCTTAGCGAGAAGCTAATCTGCGCTGATTGGACCGATGACAGTCTGTTGCAATTGGCCGATACTGACTGCCTTCAGCGCGAGACAGAGTGAAATGCCCAGCAGCTAATCAACAATATAAAATTAGTTACAGTGCATACATGCTTCATAGTGTAAGGCGTGGATTTTGGTTGCCAGTGGGTGAATGTTAATACAGGCGATGTACTTGAAAATACCGCAGACTAGCTTTTTTATTTAGCAAAAACTCCAAGAACTGGCGAGGAGATCTCCTAGCTTGTCACACTGCTCTTTTCACCTACACACTCTTCTTATAAGTAACAAATCACAACTAAATACATTTGCAAGCTAGAGTAAATGAGGCTACAACTTTAATCGCACGTACTTCCACTTGAGAAATGGAGGAAGAAACCGATCCAGGTTCTGACATAGTCCATAAGTAGTCCTTCCTGATCCTTCCTTTTAACAAACGGCCGATGAATTAGTCTTTGTAGCATGTAGTTTCCAGAAGCACTCAAACTGCTCAAGGATGGGCTAATGCTGAGGTTTCATCTTTGGGTAGAGACTCAATAATATCCATCTGCACATTGCGACTTCATTTGACTTGCGTGTTTGTGTTTGTGTGAGTTTGTGTGTGTGTGTGTGTGTTTGTGGCTTTTTCTGTGTTAGAGGGCGGGGGCGCAGGTTTCAAATCTCCAGGGTTTGCGCGTGCAACTACTTAGTTTCATTGTCACGTCATAGCGAAAACACCTAATGACTCGTTATCAAGACGACTCGTTTGAAGCACTATGAGTTGACTCTTTTATAGATGAATCAACCGTTTTAAACACTGTACACTTACAGATTTAAGCCTTAGCTGGATATTTCACTTCACTTAGAGCTGTGTTACACAATACCATATCATGGGCTCTTTAAAGAGCATCCACATTAACATTTATTTGTGGTTAGCATATCAGTATTTTTTCTCCACTGGTTTATTTGATATTTTTTTTATTGTAACTTAAATTTATGAAAGCTCATCCTTTATTAAACTTCACTTTCAACTGGTTCACACACACACAAACATTTTATGCAAATGTGGGAATATTTTGTTGTTTATATTAAAATGTTTTTGTGTTTGATTGATTGTTTTTAAGCGTATGATTATTTAGTAAAATTAAATAAATCAAAAATCAAATCAGGTGACAACTACAATAAAACATCCATTTTGTAAATTATATCAAAATATATATTATATTATATACTATTATATTACATTGACCTTTAATAATAAATAATATTATTTTTGTTTTGTTGCTTCAGCTTAATAAACTTTTTAAATTTGCAAAAAACTGATTCAAAAGCAAATATACCATCAAACTTAATCATCTACCAAATTATTCAATAAAAAATGAAGAACCTTTTTCAAAAGTATAAAAGGTTAGTAGGAAAACCAATATAGTTTGAAAGTCAACATAGCTCACACAAAAATGATAGTTTACTCTAATTACTCACACTCAAGTGGTTTTTAAACTTTATCATTTTTTTTCTTTTGTTGAACACAATACATTATGAAGAACTATAGAAAAAAGCAGCCATCGACAATAGCTGCAGTCTTTAGTATATCATCTTTTGTGTTCAGCAGAAGAATGAACTTAGATAGGTTTGGAAAAAGTCAATATTGAGTAAATGATATAAAATGTTAAAAGGGCCATGAAACCTCCTGTCACAGCAGGGTGTTTTCACACCTCTAGTTTGAAAAAAGTTGGGAAAGTGGGTGTGTCGAGTGGCGAAAGAGGGAAGGGTTTGCATGAAAAGGGAATTTTCAGTACATGGACACACTGATTTTCACAGCGGCAACACAGACGCAGAGATAGACAGTGACTATGTTTACATGGACATCAGTAATTGAATTATTTGCCTTAATCTGAATAAGACAATAATATAATTAAAATGTTTACATGAGCAACATTTTTGAATATTCCTTTTATGATCCCGTTTTACGTGTTATTGCACATAATTCAACACCGCACTACCCACTTTTCCTCTGGAGTTTTATATAATTTTGAATGTTTCATTCTTAATTTGTGGACTTAAACTGCAGTTTGACACTTTCACTTTTATTCACGAACATTACATGCATGACCCTGTGACAAACGAGATATTGGATGCGAGGATCTGGTGGAAGAGTGTTGTTTTAATGTAATTTTTGATACCGTATGTCGTATAAGAGAAAAAAAAAACTTGGCAAAAAAAATCATGTCACAAAATGCAGCGAAAATTCTACACGACTGTAATAGCTTGATTAAAGAGCCCATATTATACATGAAAAAGGGTCATATGTCGGTTATATGGGTCTCCAACAACATACTGATATGCATGCAAGGTCAAAAAAACATTTTCATGGTCTTGTAATATGCATTTATTTTACCCAATTATCCCAGCGACTCCCATATAAATCGTTCAGCGATTCATTCGTTCCCAAACCCCTCCTTAGCGCGAAGCTAATCTGCACTGATTGGACCAATGACAGCCTGTTGCGATTGGTCAACAGCATTAAGCACTAGACAAATGCCCATTGCTAGACAAATGCCCAGCTCGAGACAAGCTCGTTTGTCAAGCCCCTGGTGGACAGGCCTGCGCGATAACCCTGTGACCATCATAACCCCCTGCACGGGAACTATGAACGGCACTTAGCAGTGAAAATGAAACCGATAGCGTGCACATCATTTACTGAGCTTGATTTCTGTGACCGAGCTTTTCTCCCTTCTCAGCTGTAACTTAGATCATTTCTATTTGCAAATATTGCTGTGGCACCTCTTGTGTGAAGTGTTATATGTTCTCAGGGCTTACCTGTACTCTGCTTTACCCAAAGATCCCATCCCCAGCCAGGGGGATGTAGTACTCATCAGCATGTAGCAGGCTGCCTTTGTGCCTAATAAACTGGCCTTATTTTGCACGCACCCCTGGTGTATTGTCTGCCCATTCTCACAAGTCTCATACACCAGTCTTTTCCGATCCTTCCTTTAACAAATGAATGAATCGCCCACTGTAAGCGTGTAGACTGCTGAATCAATTATTTCCCCTCACACTTCCAATAATATCCAGGTAAGCACAGCGTCTTCTTGACTTATGACTTCAGGATCTGTTTGTCTTCGCGGCTGTGTTAGTGGGCGGGGCGCACGTTTAAATTTTTCCGGGTTTGCGTCCATTAAAACGATCTTTCGTACACGTTGTAAGACTCATTATGAAGACGATTCATTCGAACCACTATTAGTCGACTCTTTTTTTTTTTTAGATGAATCAATAGTTTTAAAAACTGTCCACTTTCAGATTTAAGCCTTAGCTGGATATTTCACTTCACTTAGATCTGTGTTACACACTACATGGAAGCTCATTTTCGAAAACCCACAATAGGGGCTCTTTAAAGTCTTTACATGTTTACATTCAGAGAGCAGCAATTACAATGGATCCTAAAGTTCATCATATGGAAAGCTCTCGGGTAAAAAAAAATGTTCCTTACAAAACTTTTTTTTTTTTGTCGCGTGTTAGCAGACCACTGCAATCCCCAGATGCGAGTCCACGCAGAGTGGTGCTCTCATTGTGAGAAAATTAAAACCTTCGTTGCGCAACATTGCGGCACACAACACTGATGACCCATGTCTCTGAACAATTCTTCTTCCACTTGTTTTAATTACGGGTGGCAACACAATGTGGCGTCTCTTCTTCTTGTTTTACGGCAGATCGCAGATTAATGTGGCGTCTCTCTGCCGCCTGAATACTGTAACAGGTAAAAAAAAAAAAGTCTTTGAAGCTATATCATGCATATTAATGAAGTTGCACCTCATACACTATAAAGCTTGCTGATTGGTTCGAACCAACTCTTTCTCATGATTTAATGCTGAAAACTCAAAGACGTCACGTTGCACCCACCGGTACAAATAACCAGTCTATACACTGGAATTTACACAAGGATCTCATGGCTGTGAAGCAGCTTCAAAATTTCTTTTCAAACCATAAGAGCAAATTTTTATACTTTTTTTTTTTTTTTTTGTGAAATATACATGTACTAATCCTCTTTTTAGCAGCGTGGGCATATATCACTGGCAACATCTTAAAAAAAATGTGTTTTGGTGTTTCGGGACCCTTTAATTTTAGGTAAACTATCCCTTTTATTTTATTATAACAATCATTAAATTTCAAAACTGCATAGAAAACATCAATAAAGGAACATTAAGGGGTACGTTCACCAAAAAAAAAAAAAAACAACAACAACAACAAAATAATCATTATCATTTACTCACCCACTTATATCATTCCAAACCTGTATGGCTAAATCAAAATGAGAAACAGCAAATCAAGTAAAGAGAAACTAAAGACTGACAGAAAAAGCATCATAACCTGTGCATTATGTTCTTATGAAGCCATTACTGTCAGTGTTGGAAAGAAATAATATATTACAATTTCTATCCAAACACTGATTACTGTATATATGAAAACACACTTCAAACCCATTGGCTACGCATTCTCTCATCCACAGGGTGGTTTTGGAATTATGGAGGAGATGTGCGTCAATTACGTCCATTATTACCCCCGAACGCAACTTGAGCTGTGCAAAAGCCACGTGGACACAGATTACCTGCAGAAATACTTCAGCCTCATCAACAGGTACAAAACACACACAACAACTACAGCAAACACAACCTTCCCCCGGTGAAGTCCAAAACACTTTCCAGACACTCTTTCATGAAAACCTTGAAAACATCAACAACAAACTGCAAACCTGAAACTAATGTCTGGCTTCAAGACTAACAGCCTGAGGACGAGAGGAGCACTTTCAATTCCTGCATCAAATCAGTCGGAAAAACAACCAAATATGTTTTCTTCTGCAATGCATAAACAAAAGAAAAGGCGATGGCATTTGTATTCATACATTTGGCGGCGACAAATTGCATTTTTCCAGCTTGTTTCTGTGACACTCCATATAGTGAAATCAGCCAATTCTGAAAGTCAAAAGACACTGCAGATGAATACCGTAGGTTTAAAAAAAATAATAATTTTATTATCATACTTCCCCAGTTGATTGTCAAGAATTTTTATGCAAATTAGTCATTGTTTTTAGCACAAAAATCTTACATTTAATGTTATTTTGACATATCAGAGTCAAATGTCTATACAGAGAGATTTTTTCTTTCTCCATTATTTAAATAATTGTATAAAATCAGGCAATTTATCCATGAACAAATCCCTCTGTAAAAACCTTGAGAATATTACAATGAATAAAATCTGGTGTAGGTTAGACTTCCTGAAGTGGAGATGTATGGCTCAGTGCAGGGGAAAAATTAAATATTGTCATTTTAATCTACAGACACAAATTGACAAAATGTGAAAGAAGTAGACTAGACCGAAACTAGATTGAAAATCACAAATTAATAGTTTACCCCAAAATGGTGTATATATGACTTTTTTTGTCAGACGACTAGTCAGACTAATTTTATACTGGCTCTTGCATGCTTTATAATGGTATTGGGTATCTAATAAAGTATCTAAAAGTGCATAAATCTGTTGTAAAAACCAAACCATATACCACCAAGAGGTGAACACTTCTTATTTGTTTTTGGAACAAAAGTGTTTCTAATTTGTAAATTATAAACTCAAATTGCAGTTTATGAACAAACATTCTAGACCAGTGATTTTCAACTGGTGGGCTGCAGCGATCCTGCAGGTGGGCCGCTTAAAATTAACTCTCCATATTATACTATAAATTTTGTCTTTCTTTATTACATTCTATAATAAATTGATTCAAATAATGCACTTCTCCTGTTCTCTGGTTGATTACGTCCAACTCGGCGCAAATATAGCCTCATGATGACGTCTGCAACAAGTACACGCCAGTCTGTTCATTCACAAACAATGCGTGAAGTAAAAGTGAAAGTCTCTTTGTGTATTTTTTAGAAAACTATTTGTTATATCTGCATAGTTTTCCAAATATATGTCTTGTGAGTGTTTTAAAATGGATTCGCGCACATACAGGAGGATCTAGCGAGGCTCAATAGTGTTTCTCCATTAGAGCTGTTCACTGTTTCTGTCAGCGATCTCCCAAAAATATCCAGCTGCACATTCAACTTCCATTAGATCGACCTGTTTCAACAGATTTAGGGTGTTTTACTGTACTTTACATTTGTCTGTATATATTTGAACAGTAGATATTTAATAGTCAGTCCAGTTAAAAGCAGAAGCTGGTCTTTTCCAATCTCTCTGTTCATATATATATATATATATATATATATATATATATATATATATATATATATATATATATATATATATATACATACATATATATATACATATATATATATATATATATACACACACACACACACACACATATATATATATATATATATATATACATACATACATACATACATACATACATACATACATACATACATACATACATACATATATATATATTTTCTTCTGAAGAAAGTCTTATTTGTTTTATTTCGGCAAGAATGAAAGCAGTTTTTTAATTTTTAAAAAACATTTTAGGGACAAAATTATTAGCCCCTTTAAGGTAATTTTTTTCCGATAGTCTACAGAACAAAACATATTTATACAATAACTTGGCTAATTACCCTAACCTGCATAGTTAACCTAATTAACCTAATTAAGCCTTTAAATGTCACTTTAAGCTGTATAGAAGTGTCTTGAAAAATATCAAATATTGTTTACTGTTATCATGGCAAACATAAAATAAATCAGTTATTAGAATATATTAAAATAATATGTTTATAAATGTGTTGAAAAAAAATCTTCTCTCCGTTAAACAGAAATTTGAGGGAAAAATAAAAAGGGGGCGAATAATTCAGGGGGGCTAATAATTCTGACCTCAACTGTGTAAATAAATATTAATGAATAAATGCTTAAATGAGCATTACATATAAAAAAATTAGAGAAAATACAGACATGTGGGGCTTCAAAAAATTGAGTGAGTCCCAGGTTGAGAACCCGTTTTAAACAATTTCTTGGCTGATCTCTGGCGTATGAAGTATGACGCATTATAATGATGTTAAAACAAATACATCTGTGTAACTTCTTGTATTGCACTTTCAAGTAATTACCAGAGTTTCGTTATTCTCATTTATCTTCTATAGCTAGAGCTTCTCCTACAAACTCGTCTCACGTCATATATCATTCGGCAGTCATGCGTCAGTACAAGTGTTGAGTAAGTTACTTTTCAAAAGTAATAGTTTACAAATGACTGATTACTATTGGAATATTGTAATCTGATTACATTACTGATTACTTCATGTACACAGTAATCAGATTACCATTTACTTTAATCTGAATTTACTATTTAATTTGAAACTTATAAAACATACCTATAAAAATACAAAATATACTGCAGCTCTTTCAGGAATTTAATATTCACTGAAAAACATTACAATAGGTTAAGCACAGGAGCTTGACATATTCAAAAGAATATGAAAAGTTCGGCCAAAACTTAACATTCTCTCATCATTCACCTGCTCCAATAACAATAGGTTATTATTAAATATTAATATTCTAAATTTACTTATTGTTAATGTGACTAAATAAATATAACAAGACCCCGCCTGCTCGTCTGAGCAGACTCTTTACTGATCTATTCATTTAGAAAGAGAATTATAACCACGCCTTGTGAAGTAGATTAATCATTTACAAGTTTTGAAATACAGCTTTTAGCAAAAATCGATTGTTTAAGTGACTTTTTCTGTGAGGCAAACAATACAATCCATGTGGTTAAAGCATGGTTTTATTGAGTAGTTTAACATATAACAACAAACGTACAAAACATAATAACAAACATAGAACAAAGAAAGGAAAGCGAAGAAGTAAAGACTTTCTGGAGAGCTTCTTTCGGAGATCTTTCTGCGCAGATCTGTGTGCGTAGATGGGTTTTAACTGTGGTGGCAAGGCATACCCATTTTCTACTGACTGATCAATAATTTCAGGGCAAAGTTTGAGCGCAAAACTCTCCTCCGTCTCTGGACTGCTCATATGCATACTGAGGGTCCTCCCGCAGCCTACGGATAGTCTTTAATTCAGGGCATTAAAGAATGCACGCCGTACAAGTTATTATCATGCGCTACGCATCATGTGTTGTAAAATGGCAGAAGAAACATAATGGTACTAAACACGACAGTTTTAAAGGGTCACGAAACACCAAAACTCATTTTTTGAGCTGTTGACAGTTGTATATGTGTCCCACACTGCTAAAAAGACTATTAGGACACCTTTATTTCACTAAAAAGTGTAAATTGGTTGTTTTTGCATTATTTCAAGCAAATTCGTACTTCCGGTTTGAAACAAATTTTTGAAGCTGCGTCACGGTCATGACATAATAGCGTTGTATTCCAGCGTGCAGACTGGGTGTCTGTGCCAGAGTGAGTCTTATTACGTCTTACAGTGTGATGCATTAATACATGAGTAAGGCTTGGTTCAAACCAATCAGCGCCCTCTATTGTGCAACTTCATTAATATTCATTACTATCACAGTGTTAAGACGACAGAGACGCCACGTTGTGTTGGCAAAACAAGCGTGAAGTGTTGCTTTTATTGTTCGCTGCAGTTAAGTTTCGTTTTCATTTTCTCTCTGTGAGAGCTCATCTGGAGTCACGTGTGGATTAACAGTGTACAGCGACGCTCGACAACAATAACTTACGTGTCTAAGGAGGAACATTGTTTACCTGAGAGCTGTTCTCATCTGCAAACGCTGAGATCCGGATTCGCTTGTAGTATTCTCTTAATAAAGACGCGGCTCTAGTTGCTGGTGATTGTCCTGTCTTTACAGATTTGGTAAGTGAGCGACCAGCGCTCTTTGTTTATTCAGTTTGTTCGTATCGAACTAAGTTAACTATTGCACCGAGTGTAAACATGTTAGCACCACAACCAAACTTTAACCTCGTGTAGGTTTTTCACCGCATTTTGTGAACGGGATAACACACGCGGCTTTCTAACGCTACCTGCCGTGTGCATCTAAGTTTTCGGGAAATGCGGAGGTTTTTTTTCCTCTCATTCGCCGTGCGGTATAAAACATTGCATGAAAAATACACGCTTAGAGCAGTTCTTCGAATCCAATATCTCGTTTGTCGTGAGGGGCATGAATGAATTCCCTGAATGAAAGTGCCAAACTGCAGTTAAAGTCCACCATTTAATAATTTGGCAAATAATTCGACTACAGATGTCCATGTAGGTTAAACACCATCACTTTCTCCTGTGTGTGTGTGTGTGTGTGTGTGTGTGTGTATTTTGACTCTGAAACTCGCACGTGCCCAAATAGACACTCCCACACCATCCCACTTTAGTTCCTCCGACACTCCCCCCTAAACAGAGCTGGACACGCCCACTTTTCTGACTTTTTCCAAAGTAGAGGTGTGAAAACACCCTGCTGAAACGAGGGGGTTTCATGGCCCTTTAAGAAATACATCAACATGATTCACCTGTTCTTACATTACTGATGCTTTAAAAGGGTTAAAAGTACAAGCATTCAGGTTATATGAGGGAATATACAAATTACTAAGGTTAGGAGTTTTTAAAAGAAATAAATTTGGGTTCTGAATGACTTTGTTTAATATTGAGGAATGTCTGTGTGTGTGGGCAAAAGGTTGAGGCAAAGAATGGGTTTTTCCTCTCTTTTTTTATCTTATTTGCCACATTCCTTTGAAGCTCGGACAAAGAGAAAGCTGGGAATGTCTGCAACATGTCCTGGAGTAATGAAGTTGTCACCCAGAGATTTTCACCGCAGACTGGTCGGAGCCAGGGGTCATAAACCCATGCAGAGAGGAACCCAGACCCCTTTTATAAAATCAATACGTAATTTTATCTCCGGACTGTAAGTTACATAGCTAATCAAATTATACAAATGTAAAATGTAACTCGTTACATTACTGCGTTCCTCAAAAATGTAATTAGATTACAGTAACGCATTACTGTGGAACGCGTTACATCCAACTCTGATCAGTACAAATTTGTCTTAGAAAGGTGCATTCAACAGTAGCTGGAAGTCAGTGATTTGAGTTTATAATTTAAAAACAAGACATCATTTTGGAACAAAATCACACCGATACCCTTTATAAGACCTGTGTTAAAGCACTGGCCTCATATAGGTTTGACTATGAATTTACTGTATGGGCTTTTGGAAGCTTCAAAATTAGGGCCACTTTTCTGCAACATTAGCATGGAAGAGTGAGGATGAAATCGAAAACTACTATGACTGTGTTTGTCTGAAAGAAGAAAGTCATGTATACACTGAGGATGGTTTGAGGATGAGTAAATTATGGTGTAATTTTCATTTTTGGGTAAATTATTTACCATACACTGTAAAACGTGATTAGTTAACTTTACCTAAAGAGAGTAAAGTCATTGGCTTATAATTATTAAGTAAACAAACTATGTGCATAATTCTAAAAGTTAAGTCAATGGGTTTACTGACCTTTTTTTAGTAAAATAAACTTGTTGTTTTTAAGGCTGGTTTACTCACTTGTTTAAAGTAAAGTAACTCATCGATATTTACATTGCAGTGAAAAGCCTAAAGTGTCCAGGTAGGTGAAAAAGCACTGTGTTTTTGAAAGAAAGCTGTTTTGAGTGTTTTTGCTGTACTGTAGGTTTCAGGGCCGCGAGAGCTGCAGTTGTCCTCAGACCTCTGTGGAAGAACAGTTCTCCTCAGTGTCCTGGGACAGTTTCAGTGGAGAGGTGCTGAACTCGCTCTACGTCACAGCACCATTTTCAATGCACTGCAACCAGTCCACAGCGCAGCTCTTTCCTGTAAGTACAGCATTTCATGCCCTGTGTCTGTCTGTTTTTACATGCATTTTTAAGTACTGATGTTTTACTGTTTCTATCTGGTATTAACATGTGGCTTTGGGTGTCATGTTCGTATTTCATCATGCTTTTATAATATATATTTTTAAATATATATATTTTTAATCAAGTCTATGAATGCAGTGTGAAAAGATACAATGTTAAATAGAGAGTGGTTATGGTAGATAGGTTTGGTACAAACAGCCATGATATGTTTTCATCCAATTCATTACAAATACCACATTAAACTACCTAAAAAATTGATTATAAAGTTATGAAAGGGTTAAGTGTAATTATAAGTGTGTTTTGTAGGAGTTGTGTAGTTTTATTTGTTCGTTTTTTCTGTGACAGTTTTTGCTCACACTTTAAGGTTGAATTATCACTATAAATAAATCATTATATCTACTTCAATAAACTTCTAATAGTTTTTAAAGTCTGCATGAATCAGAAGCTGCAACCAATTTTGTTCTTCATATTGTGGCTCAGTTCCTAGAGAAATGAAATATTAAATGAGAAAACTGTGGGCGTGGTTTGTTTTTCTGCTGCAAGCTGATTGGATGTAGTAAAGTAGGTATTTTATTTAGACAGGCGTTTGGGAAGAGTTATTACAACCTAGCAGACTTCTCCTCCTCACCATTTCTGTTTGTTGTTATAGCGCTGTCAAAACAGACAGTTGAAGGGGTGTGGATAGTATGCTAGCCATGCCCAATACCTCAGACAGAAGTAATCTGAGAATTTAAATGAAAACAGAGGAAGTTGATTTTCAGCTTTCAATTAAAGATTACAAAGGCAGGGCAAACACATTTATTTTCTTAATGACGAGCACAGATGAATTCTATACCACAAAACTAGCAATGTGAGCTAACAAAATCAATATGGTTAGTTTTGATTTCATTTGTACTTTAAGGTAGTATTAGGAAAAAGATCACGCAGAATATGTACTATACTGCAAATTAATTAAGTAATAAACAGACAATCTGTTAATGATATTCATGCAAACAAGCAAGTAGTTTATTGTAAAAATGATGTAAGGAAAAATATCAACAGAATTGCAAGTTTCAGGTTCATATAAACAGAACTGGAAGAATCTAATTGGATTCATTTGGCTTGGCAGAAACAAACTAAACAAACATACAGTGCTGTATTTGATGTATTTGTCCACATCCTGATTTCTTCCCTGTGGATATGTCACACTACTGTATATAGTTTTTGACCAGCAAACAAAATGTAGCACAGAGCCAAGCTGAGAATATACCGAATAAAAGTTATTTCATTCATTCATTCATTCATTTTCTTTTCGGCTTAGTCCCTTTTTTTAGTCTGGGGTCGCCACAGTGGAATGAACCGCCAACTTATCCAGCATATGTTTTTACACAGTGGATGACCTTCCAGCTGCAACCCATCACTGGGAAATAACCATACACACTTATTCACACACATAAACTACGGACAATTTAGCTTAACCAATTCACCTATAGCGCATGTCTTTGGACTTGTGGGGGAAACTGGAGCACCCGGAGCAAACCCACGCAAACCTGGGGAGAACATGCAAACTCAGAAACACCAACTGACCCAGCTGAGGCTCAAACCAGCGACCTTCTTGCTACTGCATTGCTCAGTTATTTATTTATTATAACTAAATATTATATTAAAATAGTTATTAACACCTAGTATCGCACGTGTAAAAAAACAAATTGTCACCCTTTTTAATGACATTTTATCATTATTCATTACATTCTTCCAACAGCTGGTGTCAGTTTTATAGTATCAATTCAAGCTTTGAAACATTTGGAAGTTGAGGAATCAACCAAATCCTCCAGGCCACTACATGAGTTTAGTATTAATGTATACTTGGTTTATGAGCAGCCAATAAAGACCATTGAATGAGAATAAAGTCCACACAAACTCAAAATTTACAATTTTGATTTGTGCTAGCGCAAATGTTAGTCCTAATGTGAACAATTATTCCCTTCAAGTTAATCAACTGAATCCGTTTTGGTCATCTTTAACCAAAGTTTAATTATTTGCTTCCACTCTGGAAAGGCAGACCTTCTTTGATGACGTGGGTCTGATGGCTTGAAATATGGTTAGCCACGCCCCTTTTACCCGTTAGTTTGCTCCTGGTGAAAGATGAGAGTAGTGCAAAAATAACCCCCTCCCCCTACTCTACATTCTCTTTATGTCATAAATATATCATTATATTAAAATAAAGGTTTGCAGCGTAGGTTTGTACAGGAAGCTAAACTGGAATAACTTCTTTCTTTTGGGAGAAAATAATATTTTGAAATTTTGCTGATATACGTAACAACACAATAGGACAGTTTAAGGTCCTGCCACAGTAACTCTATTACAATGGGATGGAAAACAAACAAAACTGTACAACACTGCATGTAAAGGGTTAGCTTACCCCATATTATCATTAATTACTATTATTAATTATTGAAGGTTTTGGGTGATTAATTAATATCGTCATTGTAAATCTTTCAGTAAAGTAAACCTTTAATGAGCAATCTACTCAATCTCAGAGTGGTCCTGACAATAGAACATCTTTTCACAGGGTGACTGGGAGAAGCAGGAGATCCCGGTGGTGACAGCGCAGCTTCAGAGAGCCCCATACCCATGTGAAATAAACAGGAGAGTGGCTTCTAATAATGACAGCCCTACAGAGGTGCGAGCGGACAGCAGCGGCTGATCTGCACCTTTACCATCTGAAGCTCGATAACAGATCCACACAGCGGCCCGCTCATTACACTCTCCACAATTAATTACTCAATAACTGCTTTGTGTTTAGACTGTTATTGAAGACTATGTTACGATTCGCATGAGAACACTAAAAAAAACTATTTATTCTTAGAAATTATCATTTAATTGTGCAAAATATGATAAAAATACAGCAAGCAGCAGCTACTGCAAAAAAAAACCAAAAAAAAAAAAAACAGAACAAATCAAACGTGAGTCTTTGCTTTTACTTACAACTTTGAAAACTATTTTTCAGTGAAGGTGAAAATTATAATGTCAATAAAATGTAAAATATAAACTATTGTTTTAACTGATAGCAAACAAAGAAGTTTGCATGTATGCATGATAAACATTTCAACTAGTAGAATGCTAAACTGTAGTGATCTAATAAAAAATACAATTAATAATAAAAAAAAAATTTAATCGAAACAATGTGTTTTTGTTTGTCTGTGTGTGTCCAATGACAAATACAAACATTGATATTATTTACAATTCTTATGCATCAGTTGAAATTTGAGTGTAATGCATTTTGGGATATTTTTATTTACACTTGCAATAATTAGAATAGGCAAAAAAAAAATTAATAATGTGATATTTAATTAAATTAAAGTCTCATTTCAGAGGCTGCATCCTCTGATGCATTCAAAGGGGGCTGTGCCATCATGGTGGGACGAAGGCTGTCTCATTTAAATAAAATGTAAAGACTCCTTCGAACGCAGCCTCAAAATGCATCCTTCGTTTCCTAGTTCTATGTTAAAAACAGAAAGCGTATGACAAGTCTACTAAAAAGTGATTTTATAGACAGTTTACATTTTTATGTGCACATGTATGGATCAAAGAAAATATATTCCCAGCTTTTGTATACCTTGTTTTGTCTTCAGATCACTTAAAACAAGTTTAAAATCAATTTGAAAAAAAAAGTCCTTACAAATTTTATTACAGCTTATTAACAGCAGCTGCTACTGTTGCTAGGTGATGAAATCTGTCCTCTGTAGGCTAGATCGTCTCATTTTAAAACGCTTGGTTTGGCCTGTGAGGACTTAGAAAGACTCACCTTTAAAGCCTGCATCCTTCGGAGAATGCAACCTCTGAAATGAGACGCAGCTATAGACTGCTTTTGTAAAGTATTTTGTAAAATGTTATGTATTGTTATGATTTAAATCTTGTTTTTCAGCATCATTATATTAAAAACTTAGATTTTTTTTTCTTTTAAAACTATTTCAAAAATGATGTTTAACAGAGCAAGGACATTTTCACAGTATTTCTGATAATATTTTTTCTTCTGGAGAAAGTCTTATTTGTTTTATTTGGGCTAGAATAAAAGCTGCTTTTAATTTTTTTAAATTATTAGCCCCTTTAAGCTGTATATTGGTCTACAAAACAAATTATCGTTATACAAAAACTTGCCTAATTACCCAAACCTGCCTAGTTAACCTAATTAACCTAGTTAAGCCTTTAAATGTCACTTTAAGTCTTGAAAAAAATCTAGTAAAATATTATGTGCTGTCATCATGGCAAAGATTAAATAAATAAATAATAAATTATTAGAAATGAGTTATTAAAATCATTATGCTTAGAAATGTGTGGAAAAAAATCTTCTCTCCGTTAAACAGAAATTGTGGAAAAAATAATAGGGGGGCTAATAACTCAGGGGGGTTAATAATTTTGATTTGTCCACTGATCATTCTGAAATCATTTTAATATACTGATTTTGCTGCTTTATTATGATCAATCCTGATTGCTTTTTAAAATATTTTTCTGGAAACTGTAATAAATCAAAGACTCTAGAATACACAAGACATGCCACTTGTATTATTTTAAATGGGGAAAAGTGTGCCGGTCAATAAGACCTGCTTACTTGTACAGGAGCCAATCTTCCATCACTATAAACCGGCGTTTCTAAGGGGGACCAGATTTGTGCTTTAACGACAGTTTATTGGTCAACAAACACACTGGAATCTCAGCGAATGCTTGCTTCATACACGTGAACACTGACAGAAAAATATATCCACATAAAGCTTGAAATCTATAACTCTAAATGAACCAAATGCAAGTTTTTTGGTTTTGTAATCTGTATGAAATGAATGCGAGATACAGTCCATCCTGTCAAATGCCGATCACATGCAACTACTCAAACACCCACAAACTTGTGAACAAAGAGTCGCTGTCATTTCTGGAGGAAATTCGCCATCAGTAACAAGTAATGGATTACTCCAGAAGAACAGCGCGATCTGACGAACATTATACAGAGGATGATATTGTGTAACACTGCTGCAAAATAAGGTTGGTGTAATGATCTCATTCCTTTCGAGTGCTCATTCGCAATAGCTTGGGGTACCTCAAAATATGCAGATTTTGTTTGATTCAGACGTTTAGAAATGAAACTTATGAGACAGTTGTTGTTTAATTTTCATTGCTGATTCCAAATCAGAAACGCCCGAGAGGTGTTTCAAAGATGGCTGCCAAGTGAAATGACTTGCCTTAAAGGGGCTTTGGATAAATTTGGTCAGGATTATTTGATAAACTATATTTGTAACCTCTTCACTGTCACTTCTGGTCAACGTTATATATCCTTGATGTATAAAATATTACCTCTATGTTAAAAAGAAAACAAAAAGAAGTTACAGACTTTACAATATGACAAACGCTTTATTTTTCATAAATTTAGCACATTTACAGTTTCCACTTGAACACCAAATGAAGTAAGCAGCAGCAGACATCCTAAAGAAAACCATATTTTATTAATAAAAATGAGCAAATAGTAGAAATTCCAGTTATCAGATCAAGTCACAGCACATGAGTGAGGGAATGATTTGATTGCTCAACATGGAGATTTCATATTGTAATTTCTAAAACAGACCTTCACTTCTTAAATAAACCATTTGTACTTATTTAATTCTATTAACTTAAATTTGTAAAATATTAATTCAACTATTAAATTATTTAGATTTCATTTTACATGCAATCACTGACAAGCATCTTTAATGCACAGACATTCAAGCTAGTACAAAAAGAAATTAAGACTTTGCTGTCTAAAATACTCTTTTCTGGAAAATATGAGTGATTTCCTCCTGAACATTAAGGCACAGGATGATGTTAAAAACGATTGGACCTTTTTACTATAGAATCAATGATCCATTATAATGAATGATCCCTGAATATAAACCCAGTAGGATCAGCGTGTTGTTGTTTTGTCCTGGAATGCTGATGACGCTGATGTGTTGAATAAAGGCCTGTAAACATTTACCTCTGTTATACTGAAGCTCAGTCTGGATCAGTTACATTCTGGCTATGTCCTGTGGTGAGCCGTAGATGCCCTTCACGCGCTTGTTTTCAGGGTCGAAGGGAGACTTCAGGTGGGCTGTGGCCTTGTATGTAACGCCCATCCGTTCCAGAGTGAAATCTCCACTGCGCACAAAATCAGGGCTGACCTGCGGACACATTAGGTGAACAAAGTGTTTACATAAATAAATTACCTAAAACATTATAATATTAACAATTCAATTTAATTAAATATTAATAACAACAAAAAAATTATTAGACAGCTTTCCAATGTTATTTTGTATTTTGATGGTTAATAAATGTTGTTATTTGCTCTGCTGGAATATAAGATATCTGAACATTATAACAGGGTACATAAGAGTTTGACAGGTCAAGCATCCAAAAATATTGCATGTTCCACCTTCCAGACTTAAAAGTTTCAGAGGGGTCACCACATTTTATATATAAAAAAATCTTATTTCACTTTAAATCACATTGAATAAAAAAAAAAACATTTCAACATACTACTACTACTACAACTGCTAAAACCTCAAATTTTGAAAGAAGAATGGAAATTTTTGAATTAGAAGAACAAGAAAAAACTGCTTTCATTTTGGTTGTCAACATGTGAGGACATGTTCGACTGATCTCCATGCTGAAGTGCACATATTTTTTATACACAAACGTATTCTCGACCAGATTGTGGTGAATTCAAGTGATTAAAACAGCATAGTCTGTTTAAAGGCGATACATTTTTTATACTTTTTCTGTTTCCGGACTTATTCAAGCTTAACTGGCTATGTCTGGCATGCGCAGCAAAACCCATAAGATGGCAGAAAACACGAAGTGGGGTACAGTAGAAAGCAGAATGGAAACTAACCAAGAGCTTGTCCTCCGGGAAAAAAGATAACTAAAACGGAGCTACTCGGGAAAATAGATGAAAAAGCTGAAGCTCAGGCTACTGATATTACAGCTCAATGTGAGCAACTAAGAGACGAATTCACTACTGTGATGGCTGGAATGAGAATAACGACACTCGAGACAAGGGTGCTCTCACTGGAAGAAGCTGCTAAAGAGTAATCGAATGCAGTGAGTACTCTACAATGAAAAGTTGCAAAACTTTAAAAAGGTCGTCGCTACTCTTGAAGCAATAAAATGACAATTTGAAAACTAAATCTCATCACAGTAATTTATGCATCACGGGTGTAAAGGAGAGATGGGAAGGAGGAAAGCATATCGCTGGTTTCATTTCTGAGGAGAAAACAAAACAAAACAACTGAACCTATTAAAACTCACTACATTTCTTGCTTTGGTTATATGTTTCGTGACTATGATGTGTGATGTTTTTTGCAGTCTCTTTTCTTTTTTGTTTTCCTTTATATTGTCCTTTGAATGTCTGCAGCATGAGCTGATGTTTGTTCTTTTTCTGTATGTATATATATATATATATATATAAATGAAGAGTTCAGATGCAAAAACCTCTAAGTGTCATCTGAAATTTCCATTGAAAATAACAAATTTTCTCAGCCTCCTTTGTTTATGTTGAAATATTTCACTTTAAAGACCAGGAAAAGGACTAATTCTTTGACATAAAAGTGATATTACAAAACATAAATTTCAGAAGCCCTTTAGAGGTTGTTTCATCTCAACTCTCTTCATATATAACAACTCATTTCTAAAAACTCATTTATTTCATATTTGCCATGATGACAGTAAATAATATTTCACTAGATGTTTTTCAAGAGACTTCTATACAGCTTAAAGTGACATTTAAAGGCTTAATTAGGTTAACTAGGCAGGTTAGGGCAATTGAGCAAGTTGTTGAATAACGATGGTTTGTTCTGTAGACTATCAAAAAAAAAAAATTATCGTAAAGGGGCTAATAATTTTGACCTTAAAATTATTTTTAAAAAAAAATATATATATATAAAACTGCTTTTATTCTAGCTGAAATAAAGCAAATAAGACTTTCTCCAGAAGAAAAAAATATTATTGAGATGTTCAATAGGATTTAGATCTGGGCTCTGGATGGGCCACTTAAAGACATTCAATGAGTTGTTGTGAGGCCACTCCACTGATGTTTTGTTTGTGTGCTTTGGGTCATTGTTCTGCTGGAACATGAACCGTTGCCCCAGTCGGAGGTCAATGGCACTCTGAAGCAGGTTTTCATTCAGGATGTCTCTGTACATTGCAGCATTCATCTTTCCCTCTATCCTGACTAGTCTTCCAGTGCCTGCTGCTGAAAAACAACCCCACAGCACGATACTGCCACCACCATGCTTCACTATTCGGATGGCATTAGCCTGGTGATGAGCGGTGCCTGGTTTTCTCCAAACATAACGTCTGGCATTCACTCCAAAGAGTTACATTTTAGTCTCATCAGACCAGAGAATTTTGTTGCTTATGGTCTGAGAGTCCTTCAGATGCCTTTTGGCAAATTCCAGGCAGGGAGTGGCTTCCGTCTGGCTACTCTACCATACAGGCTTAATTGGTGGATTGCTGCACAAACGGTTGTCCTTCTTTAAGGTTCTCCTCTCTCCACAAAAAAATGCTGGAGCTCAGACAAAGCGACTATCAGGATATTTATCACCTCCCTGACCAAGGCCCTTCTCCCCCGATTAGTCAGCTTAGATGGCCGGCAAGCTTTGGGAAGAGTCCTGGTTGTTCCAAACATCTTCCACTTACAGATGAAGGAGGCCACTGAGCTCATTGGAACTTTCAGAGCAGCAGAAAGTTTTCTGTAACCTTCCTCAGCCTTGTACTTCGAGACAATCCTGTCTCGGAGGTCTACAGACAATTTCTTTGTCTTTATGCTTGGGTTTGTGCTTTGACATGTACTGTCGACCCTGGGACCTTATATAGACAGGTATATGCCTTTTCAAATCATGTCCAATCAACTGAATTTACCACCGGTGAACTCCAATTAAGCTGCTGAAACATCTCAAGAATGACCAGTGGAAACAGAACGTACCTGAGCTCAATTTAGAGTTTTATGGCAAAGGTTTTGAATAGTTATGAACATGTGATTTTTCAGGAATTTTATTTTAAATAAATTTGCAGCACTTATTCGCATCTGCAGCTGATGTCAGAACAGCAGAAACTGTTGTCAGTTCACAAACGTCACTTCAGAGATTTCCCAGTACTTCTCTGTTGCAATGGGAATTTCACAATAAATAACCCCGAAAAAGCCAGAGCAAAGCAAACACTACCACTTTCTATGGTATAAATGTAGCGCTACAAAATAAAAGAGAGCGATCGACTTAGAATGTCACTTTTATAATGATTTGTTTAGCTGTAGTTTGAAATGTATGCTGAGAAAATGCAGGTTTTTGTCAATTGTCCCTTTCTTTGGTCTGCTCAGAGAGGCTGATGGCGGCTGATGAACTGAATTCGATGTTCCGAAATTATTAATATTTTAAAATAGGCACTATCCTTATAAATAAACTGCATAGTTGCAATCTAAACTTAAAAGTACATTGTGTTGTTCAACAGCTGCAATATTTGTCCTAACTGCTTGTTGCTGTATGTGAGCGCTATATATATATATATATATATATATATATATATATATATATATATATATATATATATATATATATATATATATACCTTAAAATAAAGTAACAAAAATAAATAAATAAATAAATAAGGGGACGCAGTGGCACAGTAGGTAGTGCTATAGCAAGAAGGCCGCTGGGTTGCTGGTTCAAACCTCAGCAAGTTGGTGTTTCTGTGTGGAGTTTGCATGTTCTCCCTGCGTTCACGTGGGTTTCTTCCGCGTGCTCCATTTACCCCCACAGTCCAAAGACATCCGGTACAGGTGAATTGGATAGGCTAAATTGTTCGTAGTGCATGAGTGTGAGTGTGTGTGTGTGTATATGTGTATGTTTCCTAGAGATGGGTTGCAGCTGGAAGGGCATCTGCTGTGTAAAAATGTGCTGGATAAGTTGACGGTTCATTCCGCTGTGGCGACCCTGGTTTATTAAAGGGACTAAGCCGACAAGAAAATGAATGAATGAATGAATAAAAAAATATAAATACATAAATAAAGACTACATTAATGCCAAAGAAACTAAAACAGCACTTTGATTCATTTTGCAAATGCATAAAGTGATAGTTTACCCAAAAATAACAATTCTGTCATGATTTAACTTAACCTGCATGGTGTAATTGTTTACCTAGAGAATGTGAGTGAGAAACATTATCTATTTTTTTTTATTATTACAAATGTACTTTAAGAACCCTTCACTGAAAGGTTCCTTGTATAGCTTACATTGATTTTTTTAGTCTCTTTGTACAGAAGTTTTCAGTTTTTAAGTGAATCTTTATTGCTATTTTAAAGGCTGGAAATCAATGTGTCAGCTTGACTTTTTTTATTTTTTTATTTTACTCAACAGAAGGGTTAAAACCCACACGAGTGATCTCAGTGTCATTCAGATGATCTATGCTCTCCTCAGCCGTCTCTCCCTCCTGCTTCTCTCTGTCAGGGGCTGCGTCTCTTTTTAATTAAATCTGAAGAAGCTGCAGGCTTTACCCTTTGAGTCCAGATCAAGACGCAGTGGCTGGAAAGCTAGCCTGACCTCTTTAAATGGCCAAATCGCAGTCTTAATGGACAGATTGGTAGATGTCCACTGATGCCTACTAAGAATGAGCAGGTTATGGATGCACTAACTAAAACAAAAACCGCTGTGCGTGTAATAAATGCAGAAGCTCTGGGCAACAGTTGATATGATAATAATGTCTTGATCTCCACATACTCTTGTCAGCATGCATTAAGGACTGCTGAAAGTTTTTGAAAATAATAGCATTATCGCCTCTGTCCAAACTACAAAAATGTGATTTGAGAAAACGGTGACTCATTGAAAATGGTGAATCATTAACTGGAGACTCGCTCTGAAAGTGTCATCTGAATCAGTCAATCCTTAACTGGTGACACGCTCTGACCTGATCATTTGAATCAGTTATAAATTAGTAAATCATTAACTAATACTCATTATGACTGGATTGCCTAAATTAGTGAGTTGTTAACTGAAGACTCACTCCTACCAGATCTATGAATCAGTGAAACATTCACTAATAGTCGTTATGACTGGATCATCTGATTCCAAATCAGTCTGTCGCTAACTAAAGACTCGCTCTGATCTGATCATTGCAATCAGTCTATTACTAA